TTTACAAAATCTCATAGAACTAAAATGTGAGTTTAGAAAGTTCGTAGGATACAAGGTCAACAGGAAAAAATCCATCATATTTCTAGGTTCTAGCAATTATTAAATGGAAGCTTAAATTTAAAATAATGCCATTTATAATGGCTCCCAAAAAACTAAATACTCAGGTATAAACCTACCAAAACATAAACATGATTTGTATGCTTAAAACTGCAAATGCTGATGAAAGAAATCAAAGGAGACCTGAATAAATGGAGATGCATACTGTGTTCATGGATTGGAAAGTGCAACACAGTAATGATGTCACTTTTGCCTAAATTTATCTATAGATTTAATGCAGTTCCAATAAAAATCCCAGTAGAATTTTTTTGAAGATATAGATCCTAAAATTTATCTTGAAAGGCAAAGGAACTAGAATCGCCAAATCAATTTTGAAGAAGACCAAAGTTGAAGAAATCATACTGTCCTACTTTAAGATTTACTACTAAACTACAGTATCCAACACGGTGTGGTACTGGCAAAGGTACAGACACATGGATTAGATAGAAGGCCCAGAAATAGACTCACACAAATATGGCCAATTGATTTTTTCACAAGAGTGCAAAAGCAATTAAATGGAGAAAGAACAGTCTTTTTAAAAAAATGATGTTAAGGGGCCAGCCTGGTGGCATAGTGGTTAAGTTCATGTGCTCCTGGCAGCCAGGGTTCACAGGTTCGAATCTGGGCACGGAGCTAGCACCACTAGTCAAGCCACACTGTGGCAGTGTCCTACACACAAAATAGAGGAAGATTGGCACAGATGTTAGCTCAGGGCCAATCTTCCTCACACACACACACAAACACATACACACAAATGATGTTAGAGCAATTGGACATCTACATGCCACAACAAAAAGAAAGAAAGAAAGAATCTTGACCTAAATATCACACCTTCTACAAAAAGTAACTCAAAAATATCTAAATGTAAAGCATAAAACTACAAAACATGTAGAAGAAAACATTTGTGACCTAGGGTTGGGCAAAGAGTTTTTAGACACGATGCTAAAAGCATAATACATTAAAAAAAAAAAAAAAAGATAAATTAGACTTCACCAAAATGTAAAACTTGCTCTGCAAAAGACACTGTTAAGAGAATGAAAAGGCAAACTACAGACTGGGAGAAAATATTTGCAAATCACATATCCAACAACGAAGTTGTGTTTAGAATATACAAAGATTTCTCAAAACTCAATTGTAAGAAACAAACAACCCAATTAAAAAATGGGCAAAAAACTTGAACAGACACTGCACCAAAGAAGATACATGGATGGCAAATAAGCACATTAAAATATGTTCAACATTGGGGCTGGCCCGGTGGTGCAGCAGTTAAGTGCGCACTTTCTGCTTTGGCGGCCCGGGGTTTGCTGGTTTGGATCGTGGGTGCAGACAGGGCACCGCTTGGCAAGCCATGCTGTGGTAGGCGTCCCACATATAAAGTAGAGGAAGATGGGCACGGATGTTAGCTCAGGGCCAGTCTTCCTCAGCAAAAAGAGGAGGATTGGCGGCAGATGTTAGCTCAGGGCTAATCTTCCTCAAAAAAAAAAAGATATTCAACATCATTAGCCACTGGGGAAATGCAAATTAAAACCACAGTGAGATACCACTACACACGTTTTAGAATGTATATTATGTAATATACATTACACAACAATACCAACTTCTGGAGAAGATGAAAGCAACTAGAATACATTGTTGGTGGGAAAGCAAAATGCTATAGCCACTCTGGAAAAGAGTTTGGTAGTGTCACACAAATTTCAACACACAATTAGATATAACCTGGAAATCCCACTTCTGGGTATTTTCCCTAGAAATAAAAACTTATGTTCACTCAAATACCTGTACAAGAATGTTTATAGCAGCTCTACTCATAACAGTGAAAAAAAATGGAAACAAGCCAAATGTACATTGGCAAGTGAATAAACCAACTGTGATGGATCTTATTTCATAATATGATGGAATATTATGCAACAAAAAGGGGCAAACTACTGATAAGTGCAACAATTGGATGAATCTCAAAAACGTTATGCTGAGCGAAAGAAGCCAGACACAAAAGTACAGTTCATACTATATAATTCCATTTATTTGAAATTCTAGAAAAAGCAAGACTAATTTATAATGACAGAAATCAGATCAGTGATTGCCTAGGAAATGACTGCAAAAGGGCAGGAGGGAGCTCTTTGGAGTGATGGAAATGTTTGAGATCTTTGATTGGGTGATGGTTACACGGGCATATACATTTATCAAAACTCAAATTTCAAATGTTCACATCTTATGACCTAGCTGACTCACTTTAAGGTATAGAGCGATGTTGATCAAATTGCTGGTAGATACCCATTATTAACGAATCATTAAACCAATCTAATGCATCTTCTCAGAGGGGTATTGACCCTGAAACTAATGAAGATTAAGCTTCAGCCTCCATCACTTGCATAGCTTCTTAGGCCTGGTTACCAAATTTGTATTCATAATTTTGTATTCTTTTTCTAAAAGGAGCCCCCAAATTGTATAAACTTTAGGCCCACAAAACTTGCATCTGCCTCTGGATGATCAGAATTTTTTTTAATGAAATGGAATAGAAAATATGAGAGTGTTTTGTGAAAGTTTTGTTTCAGCTTATATAATGGGTCATGACATAAAAATTCATTTCTTACCAGGGTTTGTGTTTAAAAAAACAAAGGAAGTTGGAAATTTTGTGCAGTGTAGCAAGCTATGCACATGTGCACCAGGAGGTATGTGCACATTCAATGCAGCATGGTAAAAGTAAATTTTGGATATAACCTAAATGTCCATCGATGTAAGAATAAGTAAATACAGTGTGGTATATATATGTTGTTGGATTCTATACAGCCAAAAGGAGCAAACTAAAGGTACCTACATCAGGCTAGATAACTCTTATAAACACAACATTAAGTAAAAAAGCAACTTAAAGAAGGTTACCTAAAGCATAACATTTAAAGTTTAAAACAATTTGAAAGACTGTACTATGGCGAATTTCTATGTATTGTTTCTAGATATAGTTATACACAGTAAAAGTATTAAAATATGCATGAGGCTGATATAAAACAAATTCAGGATAGTATCATGGTTACTTCTGGGGAGGAAGGAGAGAGGGAGGGAATGATGTGAGGGTACACACACAGCTTCAATTTTATATGGAATTTCTATTTTGTTTTTAAAGAACGGATTTGAAACAAACAAGGAAAGGTTTAAAATTTAACAAGGTTACTTGGTGGGTGTGTGGATTTTTGCTGTATTCTGATCCTTTTCTGTGTTATATTCTATATGCATATTGTAGACATTGGTAATAAGTATTATTTCATGTTTGTGTAGTGTGGGCATTTACACACATTGCACCTCTTAATCCTCATGAGGACATTATGCTGTAAGTAGGACATAAATCATTATCCCTATTCCATAGAAAAGGAACTTAAGAATGCAGAACAATTTATTAAGAACTGGACTGAGGACTTAAGTTGTTCCTTATTTAGCCTAGATTTGCATGGAAATCCACTGGAGAAGTTCCCTTTGAGTCCAGGCGACCTGATCCCAGGGGCTCCCTCCTACCCCAACCTTGGGAAGACTCTTGCTCACTGGGGGAATGAATTGCATTAATAAAAGCTAAATGTGTATTCAAAAAGCAGTCAATCCGAAGTACCAGAAGGGACCTCCAAGAACGATTTTGTGATGATACATATTTTTGTGGATAGTATTTACAAGCCAATTCTTAGGAAGCACAGGCCAGTTCTCTATTCCTGGCTGCCGCCCACTGGCTCACTCAGTGACCTTGCACAAATCACTTAACCTTTTACTACTTACATTTACAACCTGGTAAACTGGATGTGTAATATTCATGACTGCTCTCTCAAGCCTCCTGCGAACAGTTTTTGAAAATTAGGGACCAATTTAAGGTCAACCACAAGGCAAAACTGTCAACCCTTCCGTACAAATTACATCCTCTGAGCCTTGTATTCCTCAAAGGTTTTGATTTCTCTCTCCTTTAAAGGTGATGGCTACTTTAAAGGAGGTTGAGTTTGCACTTTTAAAACATTAGTAATTTTAAGTCAACGTACGAACGCCTTCTGTTCTTAAAAGATTAAAGCAACACTTAACTAGACAGAATAAAACATGAGCAATTTATATTCTATTGCTCCACCCCCCTTTTTTTTGTGCGTGAGTGAGGAAGATCGTCCCTGAGCTAACGTCTGTGCCAATCTTCCTCTATTTTGTTTGTGGGACGCCGCCACAGCATGGCTTGACGAGCGGTGTATATGTTGGCGCCCCACCCCGCGAACCCCAGGCCCGACAAGCGAAGCGCGCGAACTTAAACGCTACGCCACTGGCCGGCCCTGTCCGTCTGTACTGGCTCTCCAACATTTGCGAAGCAAGCAGTTTGTTAACCATCAAGGTTTAGAACCTTCTTTCAGCACTCATGATGCCTTATGAAAATGCTTTAGGTTAGGGGTATTACGGTGTAGAAGAAAAGAAAAACTGCGCAGAGCGGCTCCAAACCCCGGTGAACAGGGAAGGATAAGCTGGGAACCGGGGCGTCCCAGCGCGCCAGGCTAGTTCCCGACTGCGGCGGTGGGTTGGAGCGGCTGTGGCGTCTCGCTTGGGACTGGCCCTGGAGGCTTCTGGCAAAGAACCTGAGCCCCCTCGAGGCCGAACTGCCCGCAGAGGCCACAGGTCCCTTTAAGGCGTCCTGAGGGCAGAGACCCGGGAGCGAAGGGGGCGGGAGGAGGGTTCGGGAGCGCACGCCACGTGACTCGGCTGCCAAGTTCGCTCGCGAGTTTGACAGAAGTTTGAATTGGACTCGGGGGCTTTCTGCAGCCGGCGCGGCAGAGCGGCGGCCTCGGCGAACGCGAGCAGCGGCGCCCCCGCGACCCACCCCGCCAGCCTGGATCCCGGGCCGCCGCCGGCCGCTCGCGCTCCCGCACCGCTCGCTTCCCCCGCCGCGGGTCAGCAGCCCCCCGCCCCACCGCGGTCCCCACAGCCTCCGGGCGAGGGAGTCCAGCCCCCGCGCCGCGTCCCGGCCCCGCTGCGCCACCATGTCCTCGACAGAGAGCTCGAGTCGCACGGCGGACAAGTCGCCGCGCCAGCAGGTACTCCCTGCGCGCCCCTGGGGCTCTCTCACCGCCCCTTCTCCACCTGCCGTCGGGCTCGACCCTTCGTCCGCCCCCACTCTCGGGTGTGAGTGAGAGGAGGGGACCAGCCTTGCCCAAGGTCCCCCACTGCCCTGACCCACTGCTGGCCCTGTCTCCGCAGGTGGACCGCCTGCTCGTCGGGCTGCGCTGGCGGCGGCTAGAGGAGCCTCTGGGCTTCATCAAAGTTCTCCAGTGGGTGAGTTGCTGCCCCAGCCGCGGGCTATTTCGGGAACCTGGGCTGTGACGCTGACCCGAAGCAATGTGGCCGGAGTGGGGGGCAGGGAGGTGCTGCGGCCGGTCCGCGGCGGAATGGTGGGGGGCGGCGACAGGTGGGCGGGGGAGGGGCGGGCTGGGGCTCCTTCTCCAGCGCTTGGTGGCAGGAGGGTGAGGAGCGAGGCATGCGGAGTCCCGGATTCGGTCCTTCTATGTGCAAGGAGCCTTTGCCCAGGGCGCTCACATTTCACCAGGGCGACAGGACCCGGGTATAACCTTTCCAGAACTCTGATCCTGCACATACCACTCCTGGGCGGCGGGAGGGGGAAGAGGACAAGGGGGACGAGGAAAGCCGCGGAGGGCAGAGAAGGGAAGGAGGCAGGCGATGGAAACTATTCTGCCTCCAAACCCACCAGGACCTGGCTGATCCTGGAGGTGCGCTCAGGGGACAGGGTCCTGGTTGGCGGTTGCCCTGTTGAGGTCACTAGAGTAATCTGGGTTCCTGTAACTGAGTGAGAGAGTAGCTGAATGAATGAATGGAGTTCATGGCTCTAAGATTAAGTAAAAGGAAAAAATTAAGACAATAAAAATCACAGTTTGCCAAAATGTGGTTTGTAGAGTAAGACAGAACATTGAGCTGGGAAGCTGGGGCCCTGGGTTCCAGAGCTGAACCTGCCTTTTTCAACTGTGTGACCTTGGGCAAGTCATTTCTTTGGACCTCAGTTTCCAACATTAGTCAAATGTTGATCAGATCATCCCTAGGGTCCCCTTCTGCTCTAAATGGGTTAGCATGCTAGAATATTGCCCTTCATTATACTTACCTTGTGACCTTGAAGAAATCACTTGCCCAGGGCCTCAGTTTCCCTTGTAATGGTCTAGGGAAACACCATCTCCTTGGTTCACTGGGACTTGGAGACATTGGTATGCTCTCTCTCCTTCCCAGTGCCCAAGGCCTCCTGGGCATAAATTAGGAACCTGGACAGGCTCAGTCACTCTTTCAAATCAGAAAGACTGGTTGGGAGCATTTAGTGCACTATCACCGAAGAGATTTAAGTTAGACAATCCACACACCAAATGGTGTGTGAATAACAATCAATCAGTGTACTTTCAGCACAGAATTCAGCTAGGGAATAAGTTACCATTAATACTGAGGATTGAGTTCTAAAGGGCTTGTAGCTCACTGGAGACAGGAGTTAGTACTGTGTTGCCAATTCCTAAATCATCATTTGGATGAGAATCATCAGATCTGAAATTCAGGGGCAATAGTGCCTTTGGAGTTATCTCTGGATATCTGAGATCCTGACTAGGGCTACAGGCCAGCCTGGGGAGCTCCCAAGTACAAACTCTGGGACCTTGCGGGGACTTTCCATTCTCTCTACTGCTTCAAGAGCCATTGGACTGACTGTTGACTGAGCTCTGTCACCTCCCCCCACTTCCCTGTTCTGACCCACCACTTGAGTACTGGAGGGGCCATATAAGAATGATATTAAGGCTCCATGTGACTGCCATCCAGAACTAGGGACCATTAGGAGCTATCCAGAGGAGCAGAACCTGAAATGTAAGAGTACAGTTTTATCATTAAACTAGACAAATGGATCTAAGCGAAATTTGAGGAAGACTGTCAAGGGATGAGGGAAACAATAAGGTTATTAGACCATGGAATCATCCTGCATGGGGGGATTCCGAAAAGCCTCCTTCCTCAACCCTTCTATCCTTTTCTTACTGCCCCCCCCCCCCAACGCCATTTCTACAAAGGCTGCACAAAGCAATGCCCGAGGAAATAAGCCAGGCCCCTCCCAGGGGCAGCACTCATCCCTAAGAGTTAAGTCCCGTTTGACTTTTATGATCCTCTACTACTTAGAGAGGGGGTTCTGCCTTTCTCTCATAATGCTAAATCCAGGGGCCCAGGGCTAGACTCCGAACTCAGCCTTCATTCAAAGGGTAGCATCATAAGGAGATACATTTTGTTTTTACTGCCATCCTGGTGGTCTGAACTCAGAGTGTCTTTCGCTTCCCCTGAATCTCTGCAGATGAGCTAACATGAAACTACACAGAACCAGAAATGACCGTGAAAATGTCATTTTGGATTTTCACTCATTTTCTGCTTGGAGGGAGCAAATGCTCTTGACTGGAAAAGGGAAAAAAAGAAAACAAAAATCTTGCAGTTCTTGTGATGATAATTGAAAACTTTTGTTGTCATTGTTACTAAAAAGCAAAGGTTTTACTGGAATCCTGGTGAGAAGAAAGTAATGCTATTCTTTTATTAGTCAGGAACTTGGTTTAGAGTGTCTTTTTAAAATTTAAAAATTAACTAATCTCACCTTGATTCCAAGTCTGGAGTCTTGCTCAGTCTACACTAAGCTAGAGAAATAACATGGGCATAGACCAATAATTGGAGAACTAGTTTTTTTAAAAAAGAAAAAGGTAGACTTTGAGGTTGGGTGGGCTTTGGTTTAAATGCAGTCTCCTCTGCCTTTTAGCCGTGGAACGTAGGGTAAGTGATGAAATCTTCATAGGCCTCAGTTTCTTATCTGTAAATGAGGGTAAGATCTGTCTCCTGGGCTCACTGGGAGGATTACAGGGGTAATATCTGTAAAGCATCCCAGCGTTCAGGATGGCCATGCTGAGCCTGGCAGGCCAGGAAGTATTCAGTAAAGCTGGTTCCTTTCTCTCCTATTCCTGAAACTTCCCTTTCCCCTAACTTTCCTCCTTCTGCAGACTGTCAGCCAGACTTGACCTTTGGTGAGATTATTCAAATATCATCGCCAAATCTTCACTTTGAGGATAATGTCCAAAAGAATTTCCTGAATCACTCAGTCACTGTTCCTGTAATGAGTCATATTATCATTAACTGGGTGTGTCCCTGATCCATAATTCACCTTTAAGGTGCCAAAATCATTTATTTTGGCTCTGGGGTCTCTGTAATGAAAATAAGCTGTTTCAGTAAGTGTGGGGAATGTGAAAGTACACCATCGGAGTTCATAAAAACTATGAGATGATTGTGGAAGTGGGATTTGGGGCAAGAACTTGTCTTTCTTGTGCCCTGCACTAACTGAGGATGTTAGTGTTCTCAGGACTGACACAGGATTATCACCAACAAGCAGGTCAACACCAAAGTGGAGCTTCATCCTTAAACTCCAAGAGAGATGCAGAGGCAGAAGGAGGTGGAGGGCAGTGTATGACTATCGCTGTCCCCAGCAACGCAGGTCCAAGAGGAGGAAGCTGGTTGGCACCAGAACTCCAGAGATCCCCCCTTGTCTCAGGGATTCCATCTCTCCTTGGCTCCTGTCCTTTATGACCAGTTTGCTCAACTCAGAGCTTTGTGCGTGGTGACAGAGGTGGTTTCAATTCTATCCCACTCTTGCCTGTGGCTCAGTCACCTGACACTGTTAGGGAAGAAAGCAAATCTGGTGCAGAAAGGTGGAAAGAGCTGGGAGAGTGTCTTTCTCTGCTCCTGCATCCCAGTGCAGAGTTACTCCCTCCCTCCTTACCATCTTCTCTGCACATAGAAGAGATCTCTTTTTTATAGCCTGAATAACTGTGGGATGCAGGGTTTGTCTTTCATTTTCTGTGTTTTTTTTTTAGCATGACACTCTCCTTTCTGGATGTAAACTCTTGTGAACAGGAACCAGGTCTTCCTCATTTTCTTGTCTCTAGTACCTGACACAAAGTAGATGCTTAATAACTGTTTGTTGATTAACGAATGAATGAAATAGAAAGAGCACTGGACAGGAAATCAGCAGATGTAAATTCTAAGCCTGGCTCTCACATTGGTTAAATGTGACCTTGGAAAAGTCACTTAATCTTTTGGGACTTCAGTTTCCACCTTTATGAAATGAGACTGTTGCGCTTGATAATCTCCGAGATCCTTTTTGCTCAGCTGCTCTGTGAACCTGTGAGATTCTCCTTAGATTTCTTCTTTCATCCACTAATATAGCAGATTGTCTGTTATCTGGCACCATCTGACTGTGTGATGTTTGGATGTAATAATATAGTCTGGTTAATAAAGGGTTCGATAAGGTGTTCAGAGATCCCTGACTTTCAAAGAATCAAACTAGAAGACAATACAGTTAATACTAAAGTTGTTATGGGTATATTTTGCCCATAAAGGAATCATAAAGCAGGATTCAGGATTTTCAGAACCTCAAGGTTGTCATCTTGACATAGGAAAACATTCGGCAATGATGGAAAAGTTCTCTAATCTGTGTTGTCCAGTGTGGTACCTGCTAGTCACATGTGGCTCTTAAGCACTTGAAATGTGGCTAGTGTGACTGAGCAACTGAATGTTAAATTTTATTTCATTTTAATTAATGTAAATTTAAATAGCCACACTTGGCTAGTGTTGTGGATAGTGTAGCTCTAGAGTATGAGCTTCATGAGCACAGAGATTTTTTTCTCTTTTGCTCACTGCTAAGTAATAGTGCCTAGAACAGTGTAATAGTAGTAAAACTAGTACACACTAGATGCTCAATAAATGTCATCTTTCTGTAGATGCTCAGGAGTACCTGTGAAGAGAGTGCTGATGAAGAGAAGGCTCCATAGAGCAGGGTCATTGCCCAAGTTAGGAATACCGCCTTTCTTAGGGAACCTATACAGAGCCATTCACTGAGTGACTGCCAACATGTAAAAATATATCCAACTGTGCTGCTCTTCCTAGAATGTGACACCCTAATTGTGTCCCGTTCTGGACACCAGAAGCTAAGAGAAATAAAGAAACTTCTAAGAGGGGTCAGAGAACCACAGAGTTGACAAAAGATTAGAGAATTCCTGTGAGGAGAAGCTAGAGAAGTTCCACTGTTATGTTAGTGAGGCAACCTGGAGCTTGTAAAGGGTAATGATGCAGAGGTTTTGGGTGACTTCTCACCAGCTCTGTCAAGAGAGACAGGCAGGGCTCTACTGCAGCCTCCGTGATTTGTCAGAGGAGGAAGTTATTCAGGCTTTGGAGAGAGGTTATACCATCTCCTTTCCTGGATGTTTTTTAAAATGGAAACAATTCTCATTTGTATGGACTAAACCTCCTGGAAACAGAGAGGTACCCATTATGACCTTTAGAGAGGGGTCAATGGCTCCAGGAGGAAGATGGTCTGCCAGGCCAGGCAATGCAAGGCGGGGCAGTGGCACCGGACACCACCCAGGGGCAGAGCACAGCTGCCGGCAAGCCCAGCCAAGGGCACACTGATAGTGTTACCCTCGGAGAGTGAGAGGATTACAGAGCTGGAAAAGGCCTCCAGGTTACCTACTGCAAACCTCTCATTTTACAGATGAGGAAACTGAGACTCACAGAGTGGAGTGACTTATTAGAGGTCACCCAGCCGATTAGTGACAGGCCAGGACTAGAACCTGGATTTCCAGACTCCTAATCCAGGTCTCTTTTTACTCCATAACACTATCAAGCATTAGCAAAATAATTTGCACACAACTCTATTCTAAACTCTGGATGCAGGACTGAGACGTAGATTAGCTGTCTTCCGGGTGCTTAACGTCCAAGACACTGAGTCACCGAGAAACATACAGAAAATCAACAATTAACAGAATAAGCCCACTGCTTAATAAGAATGATTACATCATGTACAAGCCAATGGTAAGTGCACAGGAAATGGGGCCTGAACAGATGATGTGGAAGGATAAGAGATTCCAATTTCTCATCTCCTTTTCTAACCAAAGTGTGTTTCTCCAGAAAGAAATGTGAAAATCATAGGATGAGGGAATTTCATTTCACTCAAGACAGGAGTTTTAGTAAAATGTGATGAAAGGTGGAGAGGAAAACAATTCAAGTGATCTGAAACGCCTCTGGTTCTTAACACCGAGAAATGGCAGCATCAACAGATTACAGAGGGAAACTCCACTGGGGAAAGAGCTGAGGCTGATAAGGCAAGTGGAGAGTACTTTTCTCTGGGCCTGAGCCAGGACTGTCAGCATCAACCCAGCCAGCACTGTTGCTGAAAGGAAAGGTGCCTTTGGGGCAAGAGGAGTTAGGCTGGCAGTGCCATGGGACAGCAGCATGGCCCCCTGCCCCCTTGGCCCCTCTGAAGACTTGGCAGAAGTTGTCTCCTCCAGCTATGCTTCCATTGAGGCAGGAAGCCACTGGAAGTTAGCAACATGGTAATGACAAGATTCAATGACAGCTTCAGGAGGGAAAGGGAAAGCATTTCATGCATGCCTGATCTAGGTTGGCACAGGGGAATGTATTTCTAGGGTGCCTCTTTCTTGGGGAGGAAATTCAAGTCCAGCTTTGAGCTAGAAGTTTCTAAAAGCCTAAATTACTCTGTGTCAGTCATCATCTGAAGGAGGCTACCTATGGTCCCCAGTGTCACATCCAGTGGGGAGACCTGGAAACTGCCCATTTCCGCTCTCTTCATCTCCCTCCCAGACACCACTTAAAGTCAACTATTTGGTCCAGCACTCTGTGCAGTGAGCACAGCACCCTGAGGCTGGAAAACCAGTGGAAGCCATGGGTGCCTGCCCAGGAGGGACTTGATTAAAGAGAACCCGTCCCCCCAACCCCCACCATATCTGCACTTGCTGAGTGTCAGAGGGTGATTCTGAAGGGATAGACCTTGGCCAGTTGAAGCCTTCTGACTCTCAAAGGGGCTTCACTCTCCCTCAGCTCTTTGCTATTTTCGCCTTCGGGTCCTGCGGCTCCTACAGTGGGGAGACAGGAGCAACGGTTCGCTGCAACAACGAAGCCAAGGATGTGAGCTCCATCATTGTTGCGTTCGGCTATCCCTTCAGGTGAGCAGGAATTGATTCCGACCCCACATAGCCCCTCTCACTGGGTTGGCAGGACCTGCTTGGTCTCTTCCTCCTCCAGAAACCTAAAGACTGTTGTGTGCCACTCCAGATTCAAATGGAATTACAAGACTTAGGTCCTTCCTGCCCTTTAGGCATTTCAGACACACTGACAAGAGAAAAATATAAGGGAAACTCCGATAGATCACTGTTATAATAATGTTCCAGTCCACAGATAACCCATAGCAGGTAACAACACCTCCTACAGAAAGAACCCATGCAGTTTGGGATGGAGGCTTATAAGAGTCTGGGCAAGTTGGGCAGGTCTCTCTGACCCTCAGCAGCCTCCTCCCTGCCTTGCAGGTAAGGAAGCTTGTTAGTACTTAGATCCCACAGAGCTGATGTGGGGCGCTCACCTGGTACCACCAGAATACAAGGAGGTGCACCTTGACCAGGAGGTAGAAGAGACTAGTACTCTTTGCTGGGTATTTGGGAGCTTAGGGGGGCCCCAAGTGTTCAGAGGAGAATGGGACCAGGGCTCACCTTTTCAGAAATTTCTAGTAGTAGCAGCCAGGTTAGATTAATTGTCTCTTGTATATAATAGAGTGTTTGTTTTTCTCTCTTTCTTTTGTCCAATAGAGTCTCATTGGGCAGCCTAAATAAGGCCTGAAAATGGGTGCTTCCAACCTTAACTTGGCCACTGTGGGCCTGTGCTTTCCCAGGGGCAGAATGAAGCTGATCTCCTTGGTAGTTTGGCTCTCAGAAATAGATGGACTACGTATATTGTGGCTGTGACCTAAAGGGCCCTGGGGATAATTGGAAATACATAGTTGCCATATCTGGACAGGGTAGATGAGTGTGGGGTGGTGGCTGAATGAGAGGTGGGGCTTGAGCGGAATTCTAGGGAAGTTCCTGTCTTGACTGCAAGGTTCCAGCCAGAAACATTCCTTCCTCCCTGCCCCTTTTCTTGGCTCTGTAACAGTCCTAGGGTGAGAATTAGCACAGGACTACTCCCAGGGCAGGGAGAGCTCTCTGCCTCCGCAGGGGAGGACTGCCCTGAGCTCAGGATGGCCTCCCCTGCCGCCTGCAGGTTGAACCGGGTCCAGTATGAGATGCCCCTCTGTGATGAGGAGTCCACCTCCAAGACCATGCACCTCATGGGGGACTTCTCTGCCCCTGCTGAGTTCTTTGTGACCCTAGGCATCTTTTCCTTCTTCTACACCATGGCTGCACTAGTCGTCTACCTGCGCTTCCACAAACTCTACACGGAGAACAGGCGCTTCCCATTGGTGGTGAGTGGGCACTGGCCAGAAGGGAGGGGGTGGAGAAACTGAGGAGATGTACCTTCTGGGGGTAAGGTCATTGCTGGGGGTGGGAGGGGGGGGAGGACAAACCTGGTGGCTTTCCTGGGTCCCTGACACCTATATGTGGACCCTCCTGAATCTGCCTGCTGGTTCTTTGCTGGTGGTCCCGTTGGGTGCTGTGGCTCCCACAGTTCCTCGGGTCAGTGGAAGGCTCAAGTCTCAGGACTCTCCCTCTACCAACCTCCCATCACTTGCTCTGCTCACAAGAGGCACAACAGCATCAAGAAGCAGGCACTGGAGTCTATTGGCCTGGGTTCAAATCCCAGCACTGTCCTTTACTAGCTGTGTGCTCTTGGACATGTTACTTACTCTCGCTAAACCTCAGTTTCCTCAACTTTAAAATGGGAATAAAATAATACCTATCTCATAGTCTTTTGGGGGCATAAAGTGAAAATGCATGTAAACTATCTGGCTTATAGTTATCCTCAGTAAGTGTTAGCTATTATCAATATTATTCCCCCTTTACTTTCTCCATGTCCCAGGCATGCAAGGTAGAAGGGGTGTCTTAGGGGACCCCATTTGTCTCCTGCAGTTTGCCCTTACTCTGCTACCAGGTGTAGCTGAGCAATGGTGACCAAAGGAAAGGCTGGGAGGGGAGAGTGGGGAATTCAGGCCACTTGGGTTTTGGGGTGACACCAACTAGCGGATGCCTTGGTACCTTGTTACCTGACCTCAGTTCTAGAGCATGGACAGCTGTAGCCCTGGGTGGCAGGATTCCTTTGGTGTCAGTGAAGAGATTCCTCAGGATGATCTGGGCTCGCTGAGGCTCTAGGTGTTGGGTAGGATGGGAAGAGGCAGCTGTCCCGGGACTCCAGGATTCCACTGCATTGTGGCAAGAGGAAAAGAAGTGAGGAATCACGGGGGCATCTCTGAGTGTATTTCCTCTCCCTCTGCTCCTCTCAGGACTTCTGTGTGACTGTCTCCTTCACCTTCTTCTGGCTGGTAGCTGCAGCTGCCTGGGGCAAGGGCCTGACCGACATCAAGGGGGCCACACGGCCATCCAGCCTGACCGCAGCCATGTCTGTGTGCCATGGAGAGGAAGCAGTGTGCAGTGCCGGGGCCACACCCTCCATGGGACTGGCCAACATCTCCGTGGTGAGACCTGTGGCCACTGAAGGGGTCTGAGGGGGGCAGCACTATCCCAGCTGCCCAGGCTTGTCCCAGCAGTAGGTTCTGAAAGGAACAGAGAAGTGTCCCCACAGCTGGTATCCCCTGCATCGAGAGCCAGTGGCTCCCTGCACCTAATGCTGGCTGCTGGCCCCTGGCTGACCTTGAGAAGACATTTTGGGATGAGGGGAACCTGAGAGCCACTGAGCCTTCTGTTCCTTCCGCCTTCTGTACTCTGCCTTCCATTTCCCCTCCCTTCTTCCCACCTCCAGCCATGCTCTCTGTGACTGCCTCCCACTCTTCCTGCCTCTTTACAATATGTGTGTGTGAACACATACAAGCACATGAAGGGGGAGCATAGGGCTGTGGCTGGGCTCAAAACTGGGAGCAGACCCAGAGTGAGAGAGAAGGGGCTCATTGTCTCTCAGGCCTCCAGACTGGAAGAGGGCTTTGGGCAGTGGTGGGTCCAGCTGGTAAGCACCTGTTTGGCCATCCCAGTTGTTAGAACACTGAAATATTTCCATACCAGTTAGTAAATAGCTGAGGCCTTGAGTTTTTCAAATGCCGCTGTCATCCCAGCCACCTCAGCCCTGAAAATGGCCTGAACCTCCCCAGGGCCCAGCAACTGAAAGGTTTAATGGCTGCCACACCAGGGAGCTTTCTAGAACTTGCCGGAACCCTGCTGATAGGTTTTACCCTTCAACATTTTATTGTAAAAATTTTTACACATACAGCAAAGTTGAAAGAATTTTACAGTGGACACCCACGTACTCATCACCTGGACTGTACCATTAACATTTTACTCGACTTGCTTTATCACATATCTTTCCACCTCTCTTCATCTATCAATCCATCTTATTTTTAATGCATTTCAAAGTTAATTGCAGACATCAGTACACTTCCCCATAAATACTTCCTGCTGATAGGTTTTTCAATATTTTGAATGAATATTTGAATATAGCCCTCGCTGGTCCCGGGGCCTAGGGAAGGAGCACCTTGGACAGCTCTGGACACACCCACCCAGCAGAAGGCTCTCTGAGCAGGCGTGCTCCCGGTGGGAAGCCCGGCTAGGACCCTTGCTCCTTGTCATGCTTTGCACGATGCTCCACTCCAGGGGCCAGATTCTCCTAGCGACCAAGTCACAACTTTGTGCATGCTGTGGACAGAATTAGACACTTTCACCAGAGAACCCCTTAGGCGGTGATGGCCTTGAACCCTACCTCTATGTCCAGTTCTCTTTTAGTCTTTCTAGCATTCTGTACCCACTCCCCATAGGTACTCCCCCTCCCTGTTCCCATGATGCCCCACTTCCTATTCTCACAAACCCCCCTGATGTCTTTACAGCTCTTCGGCTTTATCAACTTCTTCCTGTGGGCCGGGAACTGTTGGTTTGTGTTCAAGGAGACCCCATGGCATGGGCAGGGCCAGGAACAGGACCAGGACCAGGGCCAGGGTCCCAGCCAGGAGAGCGCAGCTGAGCAGGGAGCCGTGGAGAAGCAGTAAGCAGCCCCCACCTGGCTACTCCCGAACAGGACAGCACCTCTTCAACCACCTCCGGCTTCCAGGACCTCCCTCTTCTTCCTTCTCCAGCTCCCCTCCCCCATCATTCTGGGCTTTGAGCTTTGAGACGTCGACGGATGGGCAGGCATCAGCTGTTGGAAACCTGGGCAGCCCTCCCAGTGGCTTCCTATCCCTCCTCCTACTGAAGCCCCAGATGGCAGGAGCTTAGTGCTTCTTGTCCACTGCCTGGACAGGCATCTTACTTGGGGTCTTACTCATGTCCTCACCGCCTCTGCTGCAGGCAAGGGTTGGAGGCAGGAGACCAGAGTCCTGAGACTGGTTCCTAGCAGCCACTTCTATCACCCTGTCCAGCTTCAATAAAAATGCAAGGGTTGGGGGGGAATTGGCTGGCAGCCTTCTCCCTGGTCCCTTGCATGGAGGGCCCACCAGTGGTTTAGTGACCCCTCTTCAATGGCTGTGATCTAGGCCCCATGTCTGCAATGATCTCCAGTCAGCCCAAGCTCAGTTTGCTTCCCGCTCTCTCCTCTGGCCTCTGCTTGGCCACAGAATCTAAAATGTGTGAACCTGGGAGGCGCACTAGCCTGGAAAACAGCCCTTCAGAGGGTCCTGATGAGGCCTAGACTCAGTGGGGAGCCGACAAATAGCAACTGAGTTGCAACTTCAAGAAACTAAAGCCAGGAAACGTTTTGGGGAGTCAGTTTCTTCTATTTCCTCAGTCCTCCCACCCCTTCAGGCTGGGGCACTTTCCACCAACAGGCTAAACTCACACTTGCCCTGGGAATTCCTTACCTTCCTCCCTGTCCTCCTTCTTGGGCTTGGCGTCACACTCGGGACACAAGATGAGGGGTCTAGGAACATATCCATTTCAGCCCTCCCTACCTCCAACCTCTCCGTCCCTCTCCCTTCCCCAGCCTCTAGGGTCTGAGGCATTCAAGATCCTTTTCGAAGTTTGTCAAGGCTTTCCTTTCATTCCTGTGGGGCCAGATACGGGCTTTGGAAGGGCCCAAAGGACCATCATGAGGCTAAGTTGCCCCAGAGCCCCAGGACATGGATGGATGGGCCCATTTCCTCCTCACTCTCTGCTCAGTTTTTTCCCCCTCCCTGCTCCTTCTCTGGCCCCTCTTTCATACTTCTTCTTCTCACCTTTATGAAAGGACATGCCCTCTCCCTGTGTCCTCCATTCCTCCCCTGCTTCCTCATTTCTCCCAGGCTCTATCCTCCCCACCCACCCCCACCCAAGTCCAGGGCAGGCCGATGCTATTGGTGCTTCTTCACTTCGGGACCCAGTACCATATTTGTCTTTGGTGTGTCTCCTCTTCCTGATACCTCCTTCAGTCCCTTTCTGGACCCCAGGGCCTAAGGGTCAGTGCTGACTGGGTAAGGGCCATCTGTCTGCCGCCCAGCTAGAAACACTTCAGTCTGCCCTGACCATAGGGCTGCCCAGGAAGGATGAAGAAGGAAGAATCCAGCCATTTTCCAATCCAGTGCCAATTAGCCCACTTACCATCCCAAAGGTGAATGTGCCCTGTACCAATCTCTCCTCAGGACTGAATCAGCCCCTCCAACCTCCTCACCTCCCTAAACACCAGCCACAGTAACATGTGCATTACTGGAGTACCTGGGAGTCAAGACCTTTGACTTCTGGCCAATCATTTCTTCTTTGGGTCAGAGTTTCCCTACTTGACACGGGGAGTGTGAGATTTACATCCTCAAGTGCTCCAGAGTCTTTCAGTGAAATAATTAGTTTTTTTGTTTTGTTTTGTTTTTTAGATGTTGGGGAAGGGATCTGAGGAGGGAAGAGAGGATATGGGGATGAGAGTGTTTCTAAGTCTGAACCTCTCTCTGTCCTGAGCTGTCCCCGTGGTTACTCAAGGATAAGGGGGGGGGGGGGGGACAGTTTTGCCTACAGCTCCAGAGACACAGAGAACAAAGGGGTGACCTTCATTTTTCTTCACGCTGGCCCCTGTGAGGGTCTGTGAGCAGCTTCTACTGGAACTTTGTTTGGATTCTGTGTATGTATTTATAATTTATCTGAAATGTGATGGATAAAGTGTTCTCACTTGGGGGCTGAAGTTAGCAACTGGCCCTTCAGCTAGGGAAAGGGGGGTGGGTCTGCACTCCTGCCAAGGACTCCTAGCCCAGAACTCTCCCTAGAACAGAGAAGGCTCTTTCTCTTCCTCAGGAGGCTGGCTTGTTCTCCGCCAGAAGAGCCTTGATTTAGGCTATGGCCCCTCTCTCTCCATGGCCACCCTAAGAGGAAAAGCTACTTCACCTCGTTACCTCTAGAGGGCTGGGCTGGGCTAAGTGCCGAGGGCAGGGCTGTCCTCATAGGACTCATGTCCCCTCCAGCTGGGGCTGGTATCACTGCTTTGCCTAGTGCAGCCTGAGGTAGGAGAAGGTGTCTGGTTTCTCCAGCTGCTGCAGGAGGCCAACAGGCAGGGCATCTGCCCTTTGCTCTAGTAAACTCTGACCCAGCCAGGGTGCCCATCTAGGACCTTTCCTGAACATGAGTTCCCTCCACCATCATGGTCAGAGGTCTCCTACTTCCAGGATTGCAGATCAGGGGTGGGGGGAGAATGTTGCATGTTGTTTTCTGGTGCTTGTTATTACACATTTGAATAAACAGTGCTTCAAGCATTTGCTATGAAGGAGCCAAGACTGGAGCCCTTCTGGGGATTTCTTTTTCCCTCTTTCTCCCCATTAAGTTCTTGGACAAATGTCAGCATTTCCACCAAAACGTCATTCCACTCCTCTCCATTCTGCACCCCAAGCAATAAAGTCTGCAGGCTGAGGAGCTGTTCCTGGCAGCCCCCAGTCTCGTGACATCTCCTCTTTTGGTGGCACCAACTAATCTAAAGTAACTGAGAGTCATTAACAAATTTAGAGCAAACTCAAAAGGTGAGACAGTGGCTTCCACAATGCTGTTTCCATTTGCTTTCCTACCATCTGTGACCCAGACAAGCTTCCTGTCAGGAGTTGAGGGCCATATGCTTTGCCCTCTTAACTATAAAGGTTCTTGCTGAACAAACTCGCATCTCTATCCCCATTCTGATAGACAGTCACACGCTACATTTACATTCCCTAGAAAAATACACTTGCGCACAATATTACATTCCATTTCACCAGGTTCCTTGATACCCTAGAGATCATCTGTGGTTCTCAGGTTAAGAATATCTGCCCTTGGAGATTATCCTTTAGGTACTTAAACCTTCCCTGGGTGAAAATTAGAAGAAAGTCTGAAATCTTGAAATCACAGACCTTGACTTATTTGTCTCCAGTTTTGTTTCTCCTTAGCTGAAGGAATGAATATGGGACAAGGTATGACGGGTTGAGGAAGGAAAAGAGAATTAGTATCTTTTTTCTGATGTGATGGGTCGGGGGACAGGGTGGGGGGCGCGGCAGGCCTTTGTTTCATGATTGTGTGAGGGTGGGAAGAAATGTTATCAGCTGAGAAGAAGAAAGAGGTGGATGATTAAGGTATTTTCCAGGCCTTAGCAAGGAAAACGATAGATCTGATGAGAAATCTCCCTATGCTGAGGCTCTGGTAGCAGCCCTTCCCTCAGAGAAAATATTCATTAGAAAAAGAAGCGAAAGTGATGGATGGAGCCAGGGTCCAGCCAGGGTTTGGAAAGGAGCGGTACAGGGTATCGATCGCAGTTCTCAGGAGGAGAGAGACGATTAGCAGAGATGCTGCAAACACCAGCAGCCTCGGGGCCACCCCAGTTCCGAGGCTGGCTCTGGCTCGGAGATAGCCTTCTGTCATCCTGACAGGTGATCTTGGTCAGCTCAGCTAGGTCCTCCCAAACCCAGACAACGCCACTTCAACCCTGCATCAGGGCAGCATGGGTTTCCCACAGAGGAGGCACGACACTGGAGCCGAGGACCCTCCCCCACTCCAACCCTTGTGTCCTTCAGCACATCCTACAGACTCCCTCCCCTTGCCCTTCTGATTCACAGCGCCCACCTCCCTGCACCTACCCTATTCGATCTACTGAGGAGCGAAGTCGCTTCGTGGCCGCCAGCCCAGGAAGGGGCGCCAGCCAGCTGGCGGAGGCACGGCTTAGAGGGGCGTCTTGGGTAGAGAGAGGTTTGGGGCTGGGGTGTGTGTGCAGTGAGCTTGGGAGAGTGGGCTGGTAGCACAAAGAATTTGTGCACAAGGGTTAGGAGAGGAGGTCCTGGGGTTTTGGTCTCTTTTTCCCCCGCAATTGTGCATTTCGGAGGAGCTCTCTCGGCAAGCTAGGTAGGCAACAGCACCCCCTCGAAGCCTACATTTCCCAGAAGGCTATGCGAGAGGGAGGGTGAGGGGCAGGAGACCTGTGCTGCGCTTGCGCAAAGAGTGAGCTGGAAAGGTGGGAGGGAGAGGGGAGGCGTGCCCGCGGGGGGCTGGGGGGAGGGGGCCGCGCGGCGGCGGCGCCCGGGCGGGCGCGCGTCCGCGGCGGTGATGGCGGTGCGTGAACGCGCGGCGGCAGCAATGGCCGCTCTGGAGCGGCGGGTGCCGAGTCTCGATGACTTCGCGGGACAGAGCTGGAGCTCGTGGGTGGAGCGGGCCGACCTGCCCGTGACCGACGGTGAGTGAAGGTTCCCTAGAGTCCGGGGACCCCATCACTGTCTCCCCTCCCCCACTCCGGGCCCCCGCCAGCAGAGGGGAGCAGCCGACGGGAGCCGCCGTCCGGCTCCCCGGCCCCCCAAACAAAGGACCCGCCGGGTCCTAGTGCCCGCCTGCTCCGCCACCTTCGCGCCTCCGGGTCCTAGCGCCGGCTCACATCCCGCAGCCCACCCTGCCCACCTCTGCCTCTGCCGATGCCCAATACCTGCCCCCACATCTGCTTGCCTTTATCTTTCTCCTTGCCTGCTGTCCTCCAGCTTCCGCTCCTCCTGCACCTGCCTCGAGCTTTCCCCATCCGCAACAGTCGTCTCCACGTGTTTCCCACGCACCCCACTTCTGTGCCCCCCTCCTAACCCCCCTTGTTCCTTGGCCTTCTGCCCCACACCTCCTGCTCCTTTTTGGCATTTGCCCACCAGCTGCAGTGCTACTGGACCCCCACCCCCTCCGCGTTAGTTCGTCGGTCCACAGTTATCCATCCTCCCTTCCTCCCTCCTTCCGTCCATCCATCCATGCCTCCAACCCTCCGTCCTTTCCCGGGCCTCTTGCCCTGCCTCTTGGCTCTCTCCCCTGACCCCCACCTTCTCTGGGCCCCGGAGTAGTGCCTTTGGTGAGCAGGCTGACAGCCCCTTCTCCTGATCTTTGTCTGGGCCCCAGGGGGCACCTGGCCTCGTGGCCTTCGGGGTGACAGCAGGCATCAGCCCCTGAAGAAGTTTGCAAGTGAGAAGAGGTGGAGGAGGAGACCGCATGGAGCGGTCTCTGATGACACTTGTTCTCCTCTGAGACATCCGACTCCCAGCTCAGTTCTGTCCATCACTGCATTTTAATAGACTTAAGAGTAGGAGCTGCCCCTTGTCTCTTGCATGCCTAACCCAGTGACCCCTCGTATCTGGAAATTATATAAGACTGTCAACAATCTTCTCATCCTAGAAAGGGGCAAATCTGTTAGTAGGTGTCAGAAGCAGACCTGAGTGGGAGCCCAGGCCACCCTGGGACTACCCCATGCTGGGTGGGCAAGGATGGGGCCATTGTCAGGGTCTGGGTGCATTGAGAACCGGAAATGGAATCAGACGGGTTTGGTGACTCAGAATTGATTTTTTTTCCAAGGGACAGGGAGGGGGCGTAGAGGAGGGAGGGGAGAGGAGTAAGGTAGGGGGATGGGGAAAGAGCTGCTTTGCACAGCTAACATGTTTTTGTCATCAACCCAGAAACTGAGGTACAGGGGCAGTCCTTGCCCAAAGCTCCCCTAAAGAGGGGAGGGGCTTGCATAGCTGCCCATGGGGACTTTAAAGATGCCAAAGGGCCCCAAGACAGCAGTTTCTCTGCTCTGTGGCCATCCTATCAATGCAGGACCTGAGAAGCTGGGTGTAACTTTGATGATGCCACAGTAACCCAGGTAGAAGAAAATTGAGTTCATGGGGATGGGGACCTGGGAGAGTATCTGTTTGGGATGCCAGAGAGTAGCAGAAAGGACCCATTGAAGAAATTTCAAGAAGGGATGCAGGGATCTGTAGTAAAATATGTTAGGGACTATTTCCTATTTAAATGGGGAAGCAGGCCCAGCAAAGAGATGATATTTACCCACAACTAGTTGGCAGTGGAACCCTGAACTGTACCTTAGAGTGAAGGGTCTGTAAGAAATGTGGCTGGATCCCTCCTGATGGGGCCAGCTCATTCCAGAGGTAGCAGGTGAAGGAAGAATGGGCACTTGAGAATGACCCACTGAAGGGTTCTCCAAGTGGTCCTGAGCACCAGAAGCTTGTCATGAGTGTGGGCTTCCTATTGCCTGGCTGCGGGCCCTGGTCAGGGAGGAGGTGGGGCTTCTGGGAAGGGAGTGGTCCTTCTGAGCTGTATTTCTCCTCCAGGGGCTGAGTTGGAAGAGAGTAACAAAAGCACCAAGAAGTTGGATGCCATGACCCTCATTAAAGAAGGTGGGAGTCAGCACCCATTAGGGCTGGGGCCCAGGGCAGACGGGAACACCTTCCCCTCTTCCACTACATCCCAGGAGGTGGTCACTTAAAGCGGCAGGTCTGGGGATCTCACTTTGATGGGTCCAAGTCTGCCCATTCCCCTGGCTCCTCTGACCTGTTGTGGGAGAGTCTAATCCTGGATGATTGGCGCCCACTTACCTGAAAGCCTACATTCTTAGGGACTGGTTGGATTGAACTCTGGAGGCTGGGGGCATCCAGCATAAGGCCTGTCATGTCAGCTGGGAGGGGAAGTGTCTTCTTAGTGGTGGGGTGGGAGTGCTCTCTGATCTTAACAAGGAAACCTGGGGTCCCCAGCCCCGGTGATAAGGGCTTCTGTCATTGCAGACATGTCCATCTTCGGGCACTGCCCTGCCCATGACGACTTCTATTTGGTTGTGTGTAACCACTGCAGCCAAGTGGTGAAGCCTCAAGCTTTCCAGAAGCACTGCGGTGAGGGGAGCCCTAGGGAGGAGATAGAGGGGGCAAGGGAAGGTGGAACGTGGAACTCTGAGGACAGGGTCAGTTGGGAGGTCGTGTAGGTAATGGAGGGAGGCCTTGGGGATAGAAGCTCCTGGGGGGCAGCTTCAGAGGATTGTGACGGGTAAGGGTTATTGTTTGAGCAAACTTCTAGCATCTGATGGAGTTAAAGGAAGAGCCGAGAGGTTCAGGAAGCTGGGTCGCAGAATTTTGAGTATTGAAGGGTCAAATTTAGATGGGAAGGAGGCAAATTTAAAATCTAAGCTATGGGAACTCCAGATTCTCTATTGTGAGTCTGTGAGCAGAGTTAGGAGGTTGAGGAAGGAGGCAGTTGATACCACTCACCTCGATTACTCTCTCCACCTCCTGGTGACAGAAAGAAGACATGGGCCCCTCAGCAAGCTTTACGCCCGGGCCCCACCCCCACCTCCAGCCCCTGCCAGCTCTCAGAAATGCCATGTAGTGAATGGGCAGGGCCCAGCTTGTAGGGCCCCAGGTTCCACCAAAACCTCCTCCAGGGAGAAGGGCCAGGGGTCCCGGAGCCGTGGCCACCAGCCTCCTGAGAAGACCCAGAAGGACAACCTCTGGTAAGGAGAGGCTGGAGACTCCCTAAGACCGGCCCTGACCCTAGCCCAAGACGGGGTTGACACAAATGGAGGCAGCTGTGGGGCGATGGGCCCTTCTCACAACACGAGGCAGCCAGCTCTATCTGCCACTCCCTTTCATGTGCTCCAGGGAATATGGGGTCCCCTTTTCCCATGTTCTGCACCCCCGCTGGAGCCCACCCAAATTCCAGGGCTGGGAAGGAGATGGCTCTGGGCTAGAGTCCAGGGCCCAAGGCCAGCCTCCTTACCCCCAAGCCCACACCCTCTCTCCATGTATAGCCTTTTCGTGCCTGTGGTGAATCTGGAGAAGATGTCCAGTCTCCCGAAGCCCGATGGACACGGAATCAGGGTGGCCCCGCCCTCTGCTTTCCTCAGCCAGCCAGGTGGCCTCACCAAGGATTCCCCAGGAAAAAACCCCATGGCACCCCCTTCTAAAGAACCTCCTGGCAGAGAGAGCATTGAGATGAACCCCAGCGAGGGCCCCAGTCACCGGACTGAAGGCAGCCCCACTGAAAAGGAAGCTAGTGGGGTCAGGCTGCCCCCCAAAACTCACCGGAAGATGGCTCGTGAGTAGTCGTGGTCTCGGGGGTCAGGAGGTAGAGCGGGGGCTCCTTCAGATTGCTTTGTCCTTGGGCCTGATGGAGAGGGGTCAGGAGGGAGTGGGCCTGGCCATCACAGGTTGCCAGGGCACAGGAGCCCCTGGTCAGCCCTTGACATGGACACACACTTGACCTGCTTGCTCCCTGGAAAGCATCTCTCCAGCCCAGGTCTCCTGATCAAGGCTGAGGGAGCCTATGCCCAAGCAGGTGAAGTTATTCTTCATCGTGGGCTGCTGACTTTTATCTCTTCTCACCTAGATCCAGGGCACCACACACCTCCCACAGCTGCTTTCTCTGGCATCCCAGATATCTGTGGCTGCTTTTGTTTCTTGATATGTGTTGCCTGATTTGGGCGTGGAATCCCCATGATGAGTTCCTGGGCTGGGACTGAGGATGGGGATGGTTCTTGCGCCGAGCAGAGAAGTGCTGATGCCCAGAGGACTTTCTCTGGAAGCCTGCGGCCCCAGACTTGAGGGCCAGAGGCTCTTCCGTCTTAGGCCCCTCTCTTCTCAGGCTTTAGGCAGGAAGAAGCCAGACCCTCCTGTGGACCTCCTAGACATGGCCCAGAGGTTCATGGGAACCACTTTCCCCACAGGAAAGGAGTGTGACCTCAACAGGCAGTGTGGGGTAATAAATCCAGAGACCAAAAAGATCTGTACCCGCCTGCTGACGTGCAAGGTAACCCCCACTCCCACTGCACAGTGAGGGAGGACAGCACAGACACGGGCCCTGGGCAAGGAGAGGAATTGAGTTGCTATCCAAGATCTGGGTCCAGGGATGGGGGTTAAGCCCAGACCAAGGGGAGAGGAGGCTGCCCACTGTGGGCCCAAGGTGGGGGCAGCAGGCAGGGGGTGGCTTCCAGATGCCCCCACCCCAGAGGAGGGTTTTGGTCCTGTGGGGGAGTGAAACAAAGACACACAAACACACTCACACCCCCTCTCTCTCCGCTTGCCCAGGCCAGAGCACACTGCTGCCCCTCACCCCTGCTCAGCTCACACCCCCCCTCCCCACCCCTCCACCCTGCTGTATTCTAGATCCACTCGGTGCACCAGCGCCGGGAGGTCCAGGGCCGGGCCAAGGACTTTGATGTGCTAGTGGCAGAGCTGAAGGCCAACTCCCGCAAAGGGGAGTCTCCCAAGGAGAAAAGCCCAGGGCGTAAGGAGCCAGCTCTGGAGCGCCCCTCCCAGGAGCCCCCCTCCTCAGTCCCGGTTGTGGCAGCAGCAGCTGTGCCCAGCAGCACCTTCTCTGCTCGTGCCAAGCAGACCTACCCATACTGTGCACTGCCCAGGTACGTCCAGGATCCAGCCCCTGTCTCACCTGGGGACACTGGGCCCTTGGCCGTCAGGGTCCTCTGGAGACAGGCCCAGAAAGTGTCCTGAAAGGTGCTGCTTACTCCGCCCTGAGTGTGGGGGGATACCTGGGGCCCCTAGCAGTGGTGGGGAAGTAGGTGATTCCCTGTTCCTGACCAAGCATACCACAGTTCCCCGGCTGTCTGTAGTGTGCCAGTTCCAACACCCAGGATAAGAACGTTTTCCCAGGCTGCTTCCAACAGGCCAAAACTCTTAACTGGGGAGCCGAAAGGGTCAGGGTCCTGGGTGAGGCAGTCCTACTGTGTATTCATTCACTGGCCCCTTCGTGTGCAGAGGCTGCGCTGGACCCCGGGGAGAGCCTGCCTTGCTGAAGGAGACACACACGCATCTCTGCCTGTAACACGAGGGGCAGACACGAAACACAGGCTCAGCTCACAGACAGGCTCACAGGAATATGTGATGCAAGAAGGGGGTTGAGAGAATTGACTGGGCTGACCAGAGCTGGGTGCAGTTAAACTCAGAAGATTTTCTGGAGGAGGCGAATCTGGAGCAGATTTTCCCTCTGAGGAGGCAGGGCCTGGGAAGTGAAGGGGCTGGGGAGAGAACCCCTTGGGATCTGTGGCCCCTGATCTTTCTGGCTCTTACTCTGAGCTCTGTTGTTCCCTCCCTTCCTGTTCTCCTTCCTCTTTGTCTGATTGCCCAGCAGGGTGTTTGCCCTGGCTTTTTGAGCTTGGCGGGTTCAGGGACACCCCACCCTGACCCACTCCCATCACATCACCCTCACATCCCCTTTGGCCCTTCCAGGTCCCGGGCCTCCTCTGAGAGTGAGTTGGATGATGATGGCCCCTGTGGTGGTGATGGGGACCCAGGCCTGTTCCCCTTCCCCCTGCCCCGGGGTGGGGCCCAAGCCTCCAGCGAGGAGAGTGAGGAGGAGGGGACATCTGACGACCTCCACCTCCCCCCTGACTGCCATTATGCAACCCGGCCCCCGCGGCCACAGGCGGTAAGGACCTGGGGCAGGGACCTGCGGTGGGGGGTGGCCCAGCTCTCCTGGCCCACAATGTGGGGAGGAGGTCAGATCCTGTGTGCAGGTGCCCTCCCTGCTTTTCAGGGCCCGCTAACCTTGTACCTTCCTTCTGCCTTCAGTTCTGCACCTTTGGGAGCCGGCTGGTGAGTCCAGGATGCTACGTGTTTAGCCGCCGGCTGGACCGGTTCTGCTCCGCACTGAGCTCCATGCTGGAACGGCACCTCAGCTCACACATGTGGAAGTGAGTCTCTTGGGCCCAGAACGTCCCTCCCTGTCCCCCAGGCATACATGGGCTTCAGAAGCTCTAATTCTCTGCATACACCTATAGATTTGGCTTGACTGTTTGCCAGGAAGACTCCAGCTAGAATGAAGAGGAGGTGGGGAAACCTGGCAGCCTGGAGCTGGGCTAAGGCAGGGCTTGAATGAATCTCGACTCTTATCCATCACTTCCAGTACCTTTTGGCTAACTAGGGATAGGGGATATGCAAACTGAGATTTAGAATGAGGTTCTTAATGGGTCTATATACTAGTTCATTCCTGCCTATTCCTGTGCCTTCTTCCTGATCCTAAGTTCCAACGTCTCCCAGCAGATGGCAGCAATGCAGGGGCTCTGTGGACCATTTCTAGGTGGGGCAGAGAGACTGGTGTATGTTGGTGGGGAGGCCCTCTTGTTTGCTGCGCATCACAGTGAGGCTCTCTTTTTGCTGCAGAAAGATTCCACCAGCGGCTGAGCCTCTATCTCACCTTGTCAGCTCATCTCTGTCTGCTCCCCTGAGCCCATCCTCTACGGGCAGCTGCCCCCGCCTTCCAGGCCCAACCCCCAGACCTGCCTGCCCAGCCTCCACGCCCCCCACCAAGGACAGCCTTGTCCCCAGCTACCCTGCAGGCTCCCCCAGTGTGGCAGCCGCCTGCAGCCAGGCAGAATGCATGGGCGGGAGCCAGGCCATCACCTCACCACTGCCTGCCAACACACCATCCCCATCCTTCAGCAAGCTCCCTCCTTCGAAGGCCAGCAAGTCATCCAAAGGCAAGGACGGGGCTGAGGTGGAGGCCCCTTCTCGAAAGCGAAAGTTATCCCCTGGCCCCACCACTTTCAAACGGACCTGCATCATGGAGCCCACTGGAAAAGGCAAACCTTCTGGCTGCCGGGGCCTCTCAACCAAGACTAAAACAGCCCTGGGCATGGGGCTTAATGGGACGGTGGGGCCAAGAGTGAAGCGGGCAGGGCCCCTGGACTGTCGGGGTTCCCCTCATCCGCCCCCCACCCCAGTCAAGGCTTCTCAGCTGGACAACCGGGGAGCGGCTGGACACCCAGCCAAGGCCCTGCCAACCAACTGCCTCTCTGAGGAGGAGGTAGCCAAGAAGCGGAAAAATCTGGCCACTTACTGCCGGCCAGTGAAGGCCAAGCACTGCCAGGCTGGCACCCCTGCTGATGCGGCCTGCTCTGTGCGCCGCAAGAAGCCGGGTCCGGCCCTGGCCTTTGAGGAGAAGTGTTCTACACTGAAGGTACCAGCCCAGCTCCCTGAAGAGCATGGGCAGGGAAGGGTCAGGATGGATGAGGGTGGAGTATACAGTGGGACACAGAGAAGGTGCTAAGTAAATGTTTGTGCAGGGAAGGGAAGAAAGGGGAAGCTGAGAGAGTTCCTGGGCCGTCTTCTTTAGGGCGAGGTGGATCAGCTCTTCGCAAGGTGACTCCAGCTTTTGCTTGATGGCCTTCCCCTATCCCCAGCCCTCTCCGCTGAGCTACAGAGATGCCGACTCTGCCTCCCCCTCCCCCACTCTCGCTTTGCTTTAATCAAAGTGGCCCTCACTCCAGGAACTGGAGCTACCTCTATCCCCTGAAGGAAAGGACGTTGGACTCCCTGAGCTCTGCTAAGAAAGGTTTGGGTAGTGGGGTTGAGCTTGGGTCCCTGAGCTGTGGCCTAACGTGCTGAGCAGCAGGGTGGGTGGGCTGGTCTTGTTCATTGGTTTTGCCTCTGGGTATCAGGATATGGAAAGGCAGGGGCACAACTCAGGGTCCACATATGCATGTATGCCCACCTTGCACATGTACCCACTTCCAGGTTTTCAGGTGCCAAGCGAGTTCTTCAGGGTTTCTGGTAAAACCAGCAGCCAGGTTTATTTGCCTCTTCTGATGGGAGCCCTGGCGTAGCGTGCTATGAACTGTCCGCATGATCCCAGCCAGGAGGGACTTATCGGAGGTGGGAAGGAGGGTTGCTCTCCTGGTTTAGGCATGGGCCAGATACATACCAACACCTCTGGCACCCATATGAACAGTTGCCCAGGGCATGAGAGTGTGTGTTTGTGCGCACATGTGTGCATGAGTGGTCTCCAGCCTGCCCCTGCTGGGCTGGCCTTCATCTTCCCCTTTGCCCAGCTTTACTCACCAGGCCAGCAGGAGGAAATCAAGCCTTAGCCTTATGGTCCACACAGTTCATTGGGTAGGAGGACTGCTAGGCCCTGAGCCTGACCCTGTCTCTTGCCTCTTGTCTTCCTGCAGTCAAAAGCCCATTAACGAGAAAGTGCCTGCCCACTGCGATGGAGCCGCCAGCACCTCCTCCCCTCCAGATCCGGGCCCCAGGCTGCTGCCGCTTTTTATAACTTTATATTATTTTTTTTAAGAAAAAAAACTCTTTAAAATACCTCAAGACTGTCTCCCTCTTCTGTTGCTGTTCCTAAGAAAGTACAAAAACAGAAACATAGAAAAGGAAGCAAAAAAACGTAAAAAAATGAGTATCCTTACTGTCCCCAACCGCACCCTGGGAGGCTGAGATGATAGGTAGCCAGATTCCAGCTCCCATCGCTTGCCTGCCAAAGTCTCTTATGTTCATCAATTTTTGTCCTTTTCAACAGTGTGGAAATGGCTGGGGTTTGTATCATTGGGGCAGTCTTCTTTCCAGATGGGACGGTGAGGCATGTGGTTCTGAGTGAGCAAGGCTCCCCAGAATCTTGACCTGGGAGACGACTCCAGTACCACTGGGAAGGGAAACTTGATAGGGGAGTGGAGCCACATGTCTGGCTCTACCCTTGGATCTTTGCCCTGAGGGTCTGTGGGAGTCAGCCTGTGGCCCTTTTCTGGTCTTCCAGCAATCTTAGGCCCCCATCCCATCCGAATTACTGCCTCAGTTTCTTCAGCTGTTCTTGCCCTTCCCGCCTCTTACTACCTGCCTTATTTTCTCAACCACTGGAGGAGCTTGAATTGAGTTGGTAACTGCTCTCAGGATGTCCCTGATTCTGTAGGACAGCCTCTTTGCCCTTAAGGGAGGGGTACAGCCTCTCCCACGCAGGCCTCCTTGAGCTGAGCCACACGTTTTTTGGAGGCAGGAAGGGAAAAGGTATGATTGCTTACAGAACTTCCCTTAGTGTGGGAGACAGCAGGAATGTGGGAGGCCCTGGTCCGTCAGGATCGCCTGGCTGCCCAGGGCTGAGCAGATGGTTTGGAGGCAGCAAGGGCTGGGAGTGCCCTACTTCTTCCATTTATCTCACTGGGGACAACTACTGTGCAGATATGGGATGAGACTTGCATCTCCCTCCTTTGGTCCTTAAACCTGAATTCACCAAGCGCAGGGCACTATTTTTTGGCCTGTCCTTTCAGTCTCCTTGCTTTTAGGTGGAGGGGATTCTTATTCCTTTAATAAGACAGAAGAAGGGATGGCAGAAGAGAGTGGGTAGCCGGGGAAATTCAGTATTTCTGGAAAACTGCTCAAAACACTGGTTTCACACTCTTGGTTCAATGTACCAAATTTGTGATTTCGGGTTTGGCTGAAGTCAGTTGCCATAAGTGTAATTTCCACAGGCTACTTGAGACAAGCCATTGTAGACATAAAGATACAAATGAAGCTGGGACTGGAGGTGTGCGGTCCCCTTCTGCCCTCGGGGCTTTCCAAGGCTGTCGCGGTTTCCCCCCAGCCCCCAGAGGGCGCTGTGGGCGAATCTGCCGCTCTGCCGGAGGCGTCCCGGGGGAGGAGCCTCTCCCGCGGCGGCGGCCGCCTCCGCGATCGCAAACCCGGAAGACGCGCTCTGGCCGCTGAGAGTGTGTGCGCGCCGGCCCGGCACGGCTATGCAGCCCCTCGTGGTAGGTCTGGCTCCCGCTCCAGCGAGGGAGCCGAGACTGACCCGCTGGCTGCGGAGAGGCAGTGGGATCTTGGCGCACCTGGTAGCTTGGGCCTTCACCATCTTTCTGATTCTGCTGTCCCGGCCAGGAACCAGTGAGTGGGCAAGGAGGGGCGGGGCCAGGGAAGGGGGTGGAGCCGAGGTGCCAGAGGGGCAGCGCTTGGGAGCGCTAGGAAACGTGGATGTGGACCCCACCAGTCGAGGGGCGGACTGTGGAGAGGTAGTAAGGGCGTGGTGGGGCGGGGCCCCGGGGGGATCCTAGAGGGGCGGTTCTTTGGGTGCTTGGGAGGCGAGGCAGAAGACTGAACTGAACTCACCAGTTCATCATGAGCATGATGGACGCTACAAGTAAGGGAGGGAGGCCAAGGTGCATTCTAGAACTGGGCTGACAGCTGCGAGGTGCCCACTGGGGAACCCAGGCCAAACTGGTGTATGTTTGCCCTCTAGGTTGCTCACCCAAAGCTTCCTGATTCCTAATTAGCGTTGGGGATAATACAGTGACCTTTCCCCCTAGCCAGATTCTTTGGGCTCCCGCCAGCACAGGGGCAGAAACAATGGTGCCCACCGTCAGTCTGTTCTCTTTGATTCTTAGGTCTTTTCTCCTGGCACCCCGTATTCATGGCCTTGGCGGTGAGTTTGGGCTTCTTTCTGCAGCTGATTTGTTTGGATATGCCCCTAGTGAAGCATCCAGCCTTCAGAAGGCTCGGCCTTTCTAAGGCTTAGAGAGGTGGGGGACAGGTAGGGCCCCATCTTTCCCTGCAACCTATGAGACTGGGAGACCTGGAGGGCTGGGCTGTAGGTAGTGTCAGGTAGTTGAAGCGGGTGGGAGGGCATGGAAGATATTTCTTTCTCCACTAGTAGGGCCTGAAAGGAGGAAGTGGAAAGGGTGTTATCGAGTTGCTCCCCTCAAAGTTCAGGAAGAAGTTTAACGTTTGCTGTTCCCATTGATCAAGAAATGGGAGCCATGGTCTGTGGAGGAGGGCGGGGTGTGGATGTCAGCCTGAATGATGAGACTTCTACTCAAGTGTTGATTCTCAATTGTGCCCGGAAATGCTGACCTGTGAGACAGGAGGTACTGGTGGGAGTTCTTTAGCCCCCACCCTTTGTCTTCCTTGTTTGGATGTATGAGAGCACCTCCTTTTTCTTAGGCCTCCAAGCTGGGCCTGAGGCTCACTGGCCCTCTCCTATGTTCACAGTTCTGCCTTTGCATGGCTGAGGCCATCCTACTCTTCTCGTCGGAGCACTCCCCGTTCTTCTTCTGCTCCCGAAAGGCCCGGATCCGACTCCACTGGGCAGGGCAGACCCTAGCCATCCTCTGTGCATCCCTGGGCCTGGGCTTCATCATCTGCAGCAGGACCCGCAGTGAGCTGCCCCACCTGGTGTCCTGGCACAGCTGGGTAGGGGCTCTGACACTGCTGGCCACTGGTGGCCAGGCCCTGTGTGGGCTCTGCCTCCTCTGTCCCCAGGCAGCCAGGGTCTCAAGGGTGGCTCGCCTCAAGCTCTACCATCTGACATGTGGACTCGTGGTCTACCTGATGGCTACGGCAACGGTGCTCCTGGGCCTGTACTCAGTGTGGTTCCAGGCCCAGATCAAAGGTGCAGCCTGGTACCTGTGCCTGGCGCTGCCCCTCTATCCAGCCCTGGTGATCATGCACCAGATCTCCAGCTCCTACTTGCCAAGGAAGAAAATGGAAATGTGAGTTCCTCCGAACTCTGAATCTTGATGGGACACTTGCCTTGGACTTCAGTGGTTCCTTTGGTGATCTTCAAGGGATCCACTTCAGAAGTGGTAGGGTTTTTGTACTTCTTAGCTGGGCCAGGGGCTGCAGAAACCCAAACTGCTATTGCTGATGGATGACTCAGTGGGCTGAAATGGGGAAGTGCACTGGGTCCAAGTGAAAGGTGATGGGGAGCTTGGTCCTGAAGCCTCCGCTCCTGATGGGAGACAGAAGTGTTGGGTGGTGGTGGTGATGGTGGTGGTGGTCATTTCCTGCTTGCATGCCTGATAAAGAGTTGGGTTCCTGTAACTTATGGATGGAAGCCATGGCTCTTTGGGTCACTTTTGAGAAAGCAGGGTGCTGTAGTGGAGAGAGCCCACGGGTCTTGTTTATGGATTATGGTCCTCATAGGCTGTATTGTGCAACCTTAGGCAAGTCACATGTCTCAGGACCTCACTTTTCTCATCTGTGTAACGAGTGTTTCTAAACAATCTCTAATATTCAGTGTCTGTTGGGTTGATGTCACACCCTTCCAGCCCTGGACCATGGGCTGGACCACTCAGCAGACTCAGGATGTAATTCTTGCATTCATTATCCCCTTGCCCCTCTGGAGAGACAGGTCTACCCTCGTGGCCTTTCAGGAATCTGTGCCAATTTGGCCCCTGGACCAGGGCACAAAGGGTCAGGCCCTGTGGAGAGAAGGGGCCCAGGTGAGGGTTTCCTGAACTCCAAGATAGTAAAGGCACTGAAGTCACTTTAAGCTTTTGGAGAAGGGCAGTGGCTTAACCAAGCCTATGGCTCTTGGCTGGGCTTCTTTGCCCAGCTAAGAACTTCCTTCAGCCCACCTCAGGATCTGGGCTTGAGGGCTGTGGAACATGGTGATGCTCCTTCCCTTGACATCCATTCTCAGTGGCAAAGTAGTCCTGAGCATCTCACATTTTTCCCTTCTTAGGGCTCAGGTTCTCACCTCAGCACATAGCTTCATGGAGCTATTCCAAAGCTTTTTGAACAAAATAAGAACCAAGGAAGTGGGGCAGGGCTCTTCTGATCTCGGGAAGACCAAGTCTCCCTGGTTCTCCTTCTTCCCTTGTCAACTAAGCTTTCCTCAGTTATCATCTCTTGCCAGCTCTTTGGCCATGGAGGGGGCTGAGTTTGATGCCAGCTGGCAAATGAGGGCTGTGCCCACTTCCCTGCAGAGACCTCACCTTTTTCCAAACTGGAAGTAGTTCCCCAGACCGCCCTCAGCCGTGAAGGCTGGCTGCCAGACTGGTTAACTGTGGTGTGGCTCAGTGGAGGAGATGGAACCTCCGTAGACCATGGCAAGGACTGGAGACGGCTGAGTCAGGAAAGCTGGTGTGGAGTTGGGTAGAGATAGCTCAGTGGAAACTCTGAGAGGCCTGGAATGTAGAGGCTGGAGCTCCAGGTCCCAGGAGCAGGGGGAGGTGTTCCTCGATGGCAGTATTTGGGTTATGCCAGGTCTTTCGAAGGTTCAAGACCTTGTCTCTGGGTGGCTCAGAAGCAAGGAGGTTGGTATGATTCAGCATACAAGGATGGAGTTTGCAAGAGCAGACGTGTCCTCAGAGTGGATCTCACCAGGTTCCTCCTGGGTCAGATGGCATCTCCCAGTAGCTCTCCAGACCCTGAGCATCTAAAGGGGGCCACTCCTGTGCAGAGGGTGATTGTTCCTGTCTCGTTCATTGCCCTCTGTCCCCTCTCAAACTACCCACTGTGGTCTGGACCTGGAAGAGATGGTTCCTGGGGCTGCATGGAGGAGATTCTCATCTAGGGTCACTTTGATCAGGCATTCCATCTCTTCCTCCATCACAGCCAGTGCTGGGAGTCTCTCCCTGTCTGCAGCATGGGGGGAGGGCTGGGTAAGGTTCACCGGCTTGCTCCGAGAGCCAAGCAGACAACGCCTTAAAGCCCCAGGCTGCCTGAGGTGTTGCCTCCTCCCAGTTGGTGCGGGGGCGGGTGGGCGGCGGGCAGGCGGGCTGACAGCCGGCAGTTTGCGTGGGCTGTGCCAGCTGATGTCTATTCCCAGCCCTGGGAGGAAGGGGGAAGTCATTTATATTCTGCTGGAGGAAGGGGCCCCAGCTGTCACCTCTGACCGGTAGGCCTGGAGGGCAGGGGCACGGGGCAGAGAGCAGGGCACAGGTGGTCTCTTGCTTAGATAGTCTGAGTGTAGTTTAGGGAGTAGGTCACCAGGAGGAGCCCTTCTTCGCGGCTGGCCAGATGGTGGGGGGGGGCTTCCCTTCCCTCCCCTCTTTGCATTTCTCCCTCCACACCACCTGCCCTCACATCCTGGGGCAGCAGCTGGACAACCATTAGGCCTCAGTGCCAGGGCACGCTTCCTCCAGCTGGGATCTCCGTGGCTGCCGCCTGCGTAAGCCTCCTGCCTCCCTCCGCGCTCTGTTCCCCCCACTCCCTCTATCTCCCCATCTGGGATATTAGCTGGGCTCCTTGTCAGTGAGGCACAGGCCTTGGGGGAGAAGCAAATGGCTGCCCTTTGCCCTTGTCCCCTGCTTAGGGAAAGCTGATAGTAGTCAGCCTGTTTTGCCTTTTTTAAAAAAAGCCAGTGTGCTCAAATAAAAAAATTGCATGTCATTTGCATAAATTTGCATAGCAGATTTACTAAATCCTGATTCCAAATGTGATTATATTCAAACTCAACCTTGAGGACATTAGAAATATGGATGGTTTTTGTATCCAAATTATAATAAGAGTACCCTTCTGGGTTCAGATGACCCCCAATCCCCATCTTTCCATGACCACCCTGTCCCTTGAGTCCCACCATGGCTGGGGGTGGTGTTGAATGGCAGGAACTCTGTGTCTGGGGAAGTCTTCCAGCCTCACCTTCTTGGCTTTTCAGCTGCATCAAAGGTAGGCTGCTATCTCTCTTCCCAGCCTGTGCCTCCTCTCTCCTCACCCTGTCACAGAGCAGACTGCTCCTCCCCTCTCCCTGACACTGGCCTGTCCCTTCTTTCTCATTGTCCCACCCTTCCACCCTCGTGCATGGCTGCTATGGGTCTTGTTTTTAAAGCCTTAAACTGTGGGAGATCCAAGCACCCTCCCTGAGCCAGCTGGCTGCTGTGCCAAGGCCTGTTCAGAGTAAATAATAATCATTAGCTGAACAGTGCTGGGGCCTTTCAGCTCCAGATCTCTAAGCACTGGCAGGCTGAGTCAGCCAGCCCTCACCTTCCCCTTCTTCTTGGGCTGCCAGTGTAAGAGAATGGGGAGGCCTATGGGAGGGAAGGAGGGGTCAGGAGTCTTACCTCCCAGCCTTCAGGCTTCTTTTCTCTGGGAGTGGGCCCTGCGAGTCCTCTGAGTAAACAAAAAGGTCTTTTCAACTGACAAAGGTCAAGATGTAGGGAACGCAGTATGTGCTCTGCTAACACTGGTAGTGGCCGTGGTGGCTGCTGACCCTGAACCTCTGGTCTTCCTGCCCTTCCTTCTGTTTACCTGTGTGGCCTCCAGAGGACACCCTTGGTCCTGACATCTGACCTCAGCATTTCTGGTGGCTCCCTGCAGGCTTAGGGAGCAGGGAGACCTCTGGTGTAGTGCTCCCACTGCCCCTGTGTCTGGCTGGCATAAAGAGCCTGTGTAACATGAAGTGAAAAGTGCATGGACCTGAAACTAGGAAACCTGCAGGCTGGGTTTATTTGGCCCTAACACTGGTGTGGCCAAAAGCAAACCCCTTACTGCTGGACCTCCCTCACAGGGATGATGTGAGGGTTAGATGGGAGAACGCATGTTAACAGGTATTGCAAAGTTCAAAACATTAAACAAATGTAAACAGGTGGTATTATGTTCTTGTCCTTATCTCTTTTTCATTCAGCCTGGCTCTGGGCTTTATGCTTCTTTTAGGGAGGCAATAAACAGTTATGGATGATAACGCTTAGGGGACCCAAGCATCAGAGAGGTTGTACTGCTGGCCATCGTAAGAGAACACAGACACATTTCCTCCTTTTAAATGCAAGGTCACCTCTTATCCATTCCTGCCAGGAATGCCATCAAGGCTATGACTCTAGCAAAGCTTGCCCTAAAGTGCTGCCTACCTGGTGTTTTCAAGTCCTGGGGCTGCCTGCAAATCTGGAAGTCAGTGCAGTCATCCCCTAGGTCCAGCCTGAAGTTCCTGGAGCTGGTCTTGGTCTGGAGCTGCTGGTCACAAGTCTTTCTAAATCTCTCCTACCCAATTCTGCTCTTCTGAGGGAAAAGTAGAGCAGACAAGCCAGGAAGGGACGGAGCAACGGTAATGGACACAACACTGCCACTCCGACCCTCTGGTTTCCCCTGTAGCCACAGGCTGAGCAAGGCCTGCTTCAGGCTCTCACGCCAGGCCTGGAGGTGCAGAGCTGTGAGACACAGCCCTGTCTTGTTCACAGGTTTGTTTCTCTTTCCTTCTTTCAGGTTCTTCAAGTAGGATCACAGTCTCCGCCTCCTCAAAGCACTTTATTGGAATTAAAACACACTCATACACACATACACATACACACACACAGCATGAAAGCAGTTCTGTTTAAATTTTTAAATTAGGGGAAGGATACTTTCCATTCCATTTGTCTGAGAACAGCCAGCAGTTGCCTGGAGTGGACAGAGAAGCAGGAACAGCAGCGCAGAGCCTTCCGTGTTCATTTTTTTATCTAATTGGTTTTTTTCTGTCCTGGGATCCAGGAATGAAACACCAGTCAGGCACTGTGGGCACAGCCTTAGCAATTCTCACCAGCACAGGCACAGAGAAGACAGCTGAAAGGCAGGAGGACAGTGTCCCAAAACTGCCCTGGAGGGGGGTCTGAAGTAGATAGTCTCCAGCACTGGGCTAAACTTAAAGCAGACACAAATGACCTCCAGTAAGACAGCCTTCCCCCTTCCCACTGCCGAGAGGGCTTGGCTAGTCACCAATGTGCAGGGGATAAGAGTCCCAGTTTTTAATCTAACTGCTATTGTCAGAACTCCCCAGATGACTTTTTAGATCTCTACTGAAAGCAGATTAAGTAGCCACTTCAGGCTGTTCTGTGGTACCAAAGGATTCAACTCTTAGTCTCACTGAGTATACCTGAGGGGTCCCCAGCACCCCTCTCTTTAAAGTAGATTCCCAGTTATCTAACGGTGCTTTCTAAGGGTGCCCAGGACTAGGCTAGGCCTTTCTGCTTAGACCCACACCAAAAGCAAACTAAGCCAAGTGAGGGAGCAGTGGGAGGTGCGGGAGAGGCAGCACAAAGTCCTGTACAGCCGCAGTGCTCCCCAATCTGCATGCATGTTTGTGCACATACGCACACATGTGCATCCGCCCCTCCCTAAGGTTGGGGTTAATGACTCTCAGTGCATGTATGCTGGTGCTGTAGGGCACCTGCAAGTCCACTGCAGGGCGCCATGTCCTGGCTCACTGAAGGCTGGTTCTCTCAGGTCATGGTTCCATGTCCCCTGTGATTCTGGGACAGCAACCAGGCTCACATAGACTGGAAGGCCTCGGGGCAGGTCTAAGTATCTTTACCACTTGATATTTTCCACTTGACAGTGTATAAGCCTGAGGAAGGGGCTTGACATGGCAGCTGCTGTAGCCTTCCTCTCTCAAGCCCCAGGAGAGGAAGCATCCGGCACAGGCTCACTGTAGCCTGACCAGAAAAGCCAGCCATCCTACTGCACAGGCCTGAGCCTTTTCTGCAGTGTGGGTGGGGAAAGTGAAGCTTCACCAGTGGTTTCCTGGGAGACAAGATAAGTGGGACAAGAATTACAACTGCAGAAAGGGAAGGAGTGGAGAGATCAGGTGGAAGAGAGACTAGGCTGGCCGATCCACGGATCATCTTCTGTTCTAAAAGGCAACTGTCAGATTAGCCTCCTCCATCCCCTGAAGTGCCACCTAAGAGGAGCTAGGGAAAGTGCTGTGAGACATGGCAGACAAAATTGCACATCTTGTCCAGAATCTAGGGAACTTCTTGTGGTTGGGGGGGAAAGGGGACAGGTTTGAAGAGATGCAGCCATGGACTTCCCTGGGATGATGGAGAGAGAAGTATCAAAACTGTTCAGGCTCAAAGACAGGGCTTGGCACAGGCCAAAATAGAGGGGAGAACTCCCAGTAGTCTCTGGACCTGTCCTTGTTACCAGCTTCATCCTCTTGGCCAAATTCAGCCATAGCAAAAACTGCTTTGAAAAGATGAAAAAATGCTATATAAGTGTAGACTATGAGGGTGCTCTGACATCAACATCTGTCATTTCATTGACTGCCAAGGTTGATTTGTCTGATATGGCTAGCTGTGAGGTGTCTCCATCCCTCACCACTTTGGCTGTTCCTCATGAAGAGAAAAAGACAACTTTCCAGGCAGAGGAGGGCTGCCCTTTGGTCAAGATTTTATCAGTGTAAGAAACCAGGTAATTATTCAAATTCTGATTCTTTTAATTTAATTTTAATTTTTAGTTAATTTTTCTTATACCATTTCCTCTCCCCTTTTGGAATCTACCATGATAGTCGCCTTCCAGAAGTACCAAGAGAGCAGCCAAAGAAATTGCATGTTCAGAGCTTCATAGAATCCAGTCCAGTTTCTGGTTGGCTGTGTCTGTACCAAGAAAGTGGGGATTGCATTTCTGTGTCCTATGCAATGCCTAGGACACATTACACTGTCAATGAATATTAACCTGCCCATTACATGAATGTATTTTTAGCCCGACCAAGGTGGTTACCATTTACAACATGAAAATATACTGGTAATAAAAATGTTGTGAAAATGAGCAGCTCTCCATTGTTTCTTTTAATTCAGTCCAAGCATTTTTCAATAGTACATTATTGGCTTGATCCAGATGTTTACGAGAACTCTGCCGAGAGGCAACCCTCCTCCCCAGAGACCCAGAAAGCCTTCATTATCGGGAGGCGCTAGCGCCAAGTCATGGAATTTTTCAGCTCTCTCCTGTTCAACCATCAGTGACATTTCTTTTGAGAATCTGTCTATTGGGTTGGCAAACTATGGTCCACTGGCCAAAACCAGCCCACTGCCTGGTTTTGTGTGGTCTGTGAGCTAATAAGAGTTTCTACATTTTTAAAGGGTTGAAAAAACTCAAAAGACATTAAAATTATATGAAATTCAAATTTCAATATCCATAATGTTTGATTGAAACAGAGCCACAATCATTCATTTACGTACATCCGTGGCTGTCATCCTGCTACAACGACACAGCTGAGTAGTTGTAACAGATTGTACGGCCTGCAAAGCCTAACATATTTACTATCTGGCTCTTCACAGAGAAAGTCTGCTGACCCCTGGTCTATCTTAACACTTGGATGTGGGTTCTACCTGAGCCCTTAGAACAGTATTGAAATATTCTCTTCCTAGATAGGCCACACCCTTCTGAGGTACAGTGAACCCCACCCACAGGCTGAAAAGATAAATAAACCAGTCACAGACTATGCTGGAACAGAGACTCAAGCCAGGTTTAATGATCATTGTCTAGTTTTCAGAGCCCGGGGGCTCCAAGGTTTGCCAGCCTGGGTATACAACGTGGGAGGAATAGGGTCCTGGACGCGGGAAGCCTGCTTGCTTCGCCAGCAGGGCTACAGGGAAGGACAAGGGTGAGAACACACAGAAAACTGGCATGGATTGGCTTTGCTCTCCCCACCTGGGTGTACCCTCTCCTGGCCCCTTCCTAGGAGCCCCATAAATACAGGCAAAGAGAAAAGGTCACAAATAATCACACAGACAGATTGCAGAGCCCTATCATACTCTGTCTCCAGGGACACCTGCTTCCTGGGAGACATGTCTGGTTTATGGGTATGGGAAGGGAAGGGGTGATTGCTCAGCCTTTTCTTATAACCAGACCTGGCAGTTTCCTACAGAGGCTTCTGGTGAGCTTACATATGCTAGTACTTGATCCCTCAAGTAGAAGCTGCCTTTGGGTACCACCGACTGAAACCACTGGAAGAGGCTAATCAGTTCAATCTCTTGGTGGGGCAGCCAGGCACATCCACCAGTCTCTCAAACTAGGGGCAAATTAGTGGATATAAGAAGGAGACTTAGAGCCTCAGGGCCTTTTCTTATTCCCTAAATTGGGTAGACTTATGAAGAAATCGGCCCTTCTAGTCCTCAGGAACTCAGCTAGAATGCCCCAGAAGGCCTGCTGGGGCATTTGCCATTCACTTTAAAGATTTTCAGAGCCCTAAATGGTGCCTAGAGGAGAAACTGCAGCATGGAGATGAGATTTTTCCCAGGTTCCCTGATAAGTCTGAGGAGGGAGTCCTGGTTCCTATAGCCCCAGTAACAAAACTGTCACAAGTCTCTGGAATTTAACAGACAACTTTTCCATCCTACCCCTGTCTTAGCAGGGCAGTTAACATAGGAAGAGCAACTAACAGCTGCTTGGTCCTTTGTCAGTTTCCTTCTGGGTCCATCACTGGCCTAGTTCTACATTTATTTCTCATATATATTGTCTTTAATCCAAGGAAGGTTTCTGAGGAGTCTGAAGGACCAGCTAGCTCCTCATCACCCCTCCAAATGTCCTCAACCTGTGGTTCTCCTAACTCCAGCCTTTGCAGAGGAGTTCTTCAGTGCCATGGAGATGTGGGTGAAGCTTCAAGGAAGTTCAGAAATTAACAAGAGTTTGTATCTGGGGAGCCTGGCATGGTCACAGTCTCTCCTACAGGGCAAGAAAATTGTGCGCATGAAGTTGTGCACATAGGTGGTGACCATTCTGAAAGTGGACATTAGTGGGGACTTAAGAATCACTGTCCTGATGGAAGTCAAGGTGCTGGTGTGCATGCATACCTATAAGCATGCATACCTATGAGCATGCATACCTATGAGCATGCAAGTACTTAAGGGAAATGCTGCACCTCTCTTGACACAACAAGGATACTAATAAAGGATGGACAGCAGTCTTGAGATCCCAGGAACAGACAAGGGGAAGACGTTGAGTTCCAGTTCCCTTCCCCAATCTTAATAGGCAGTGGGAATCAGGCCATCCTAGCAAGCAGCCCTTATCCACAGGTAAATAACACCTCTTGGAACCTAGAGAGCAGGTCAGAAAACTAGAAGATCTGGAGAACTTCCAACGGACAGGAACTTGGTGGGAGAGAGGGGGGAGACTGAAAAAGACCAACATCAGAGAACACTTTGCCATACTCGTCCCCTTGCCAAAGCTCAGAGCAACCACCTCCCAGAGCCTGCAGCAGAGTCAAAGGGAGAAGTTAAAGGGAGCAGTCATCTCCATACCCAAAGTATTCTGCAACCTTGGATGGACTGGAATGTTGGGCCATTCTTCTTAAGTTCCTCTGGCCTGACAACCACGACTGCACAGGGCTCTGGCTGAGGGGGCTAAGGGTGGCAGAACTTTCCTTCTGAAAGTTTAGTGCCACTGATTGTCTCTGTTACAAGACTGCCTGGAACCCTGTGGAGAGGGCAGAACTCTAAGCCGCACTCCAAACTGCGATTCTGGGGCAAAGACCACCCAATTCCACCCTGCAGATGATGAAATCTCATGCCTTGGCTTTGCAGCAGGGGTGAGATCTCTAAGAGAGGAGCAAGGCAGCTTTGTCAACATAGAGGGGATACACACCCGGTCTCCTCCATCCCCAACCCCAGTCTAACCCCGCTGGGGCCAGACTTTCCAGGACTCCTCCCTTTGCAGAGCAGCCTATTAGGGAAAACTCAGAATCCCACCTGAGCTTGATAAGGAGTCTGAATAAAGAGATGGAATACATGGAGGATCAGGTAGGTCCAGCTGGACGCTACATAATAGAGGCTGATTCATCCTCCTCCTCCTATAGTCTGAAGTGGCCCCACACCCCATATCTGTGGCAGGCATCCATAAAAACTCTGCTTCAGCAGCCACCACCCTGGTCTGACACACAGGTGCTGGGAATCAAATGCTGACCAAGGGTTTCACCAACCAGGGAATTAGCCAATCTGGACTTTATCCCCCATCCACAAGTTTTGTGCTGGCACCTATGCTGTGACACGGACCCCTCAGTTCATGCTGCACCCCTCTGTGCCACTGGTCCCAGGACAAGGCCCAGATACCATATCTCACGTTGTTGCCTATGTGACAGGCAACAGGCCAGGCTCCTGCGAAGATCCATCCACCCAGGGCTCATTGGGAAGGAGGAAGGCATTCGTGGGAAGTCTCACAACAGCTTTGGGCAGTGTTACTGATTGAGATCTCAGCCTTTTCCTGACTCCTTTTTCCAAAGATTTCCAATTTTCCCAGCTGTGAAGTGTGATTTCCTGGCCAAAGAAGTTACTACAGCTTTTCCCCAATGTGGCTCCCGTGGAAGCTCCCCCCGCCAACACACACAACACCCCAGGTGTGGGTGAGCAGAGAGAGAAAAAAATGATTTTTTTTTTCCCAGATGATTTTCTCTTAAGGAGCTAGGGATGACCTTGAAAAAGTTTAGGGAATCTGCTCTTTCACCGCCCCTTCCTCATTCCCAACCAGCTGACACACTCCTCTTCCTCCACCACATTGAGAACTGCCAGGGCTTTGGGTAGGGGTGTAGCATTTGCCTGAGGATTAATACATCCATATTTGAAAATCGTGGCAGCCACACCCTGGTTGGGATCTTGCCTGCTATTGTACCCATGACCAATTCCCTTTGAGGTCAGGGGGAACCTACTCCCTTGGGCAGCCAGCCCTCTCTTCCATCCCCTCATATCCTTCAGGGGTGCATTACCTCGCCTGGGGCAGAATCTCCCCACCAACCCATCCTGCTCACACCACAATGGGCGTATCAGAGAAGACCGAGCTGACCGATTCCGGATCTGACATCCTCCGCTGGCCCTTGCCTGTTGCCTCAGGCACCGGCAGGGTGTTGCCTGGCTTCAGCTTGCCGTTTTGACCCTGCCCGGGTCCAGCAGGTTCCAGGAAGGCTACCCGCCGATCAAAACCATCATCCTTGTCCCCTCCAGCCATAGGATCGTGGTTGGGTGTGGTACTAAGCATGGAAGAGCTCAGGCTGTCTCCTTGATGGCTAGAAGGCTTCTCAACACCCCGACACCAGCAGCGGCAAGGAGTGAGGTACAGGTATATGAGGACCAGGACCACACTGAGGATACAGCCCACTAGGGTGGTATAGGCTGTGTTGAGGGTGTCGTGGTGTCCATGCGAGGTGAAATTGTACACTTTCAACTCCACAGACAGTGTCTCGTTGAAAGCCTCCCCCATAGCGTAGCAGGTATACACCCCCCCGTCCTCAACCTGCACATGCTCGAAATGAAGACTGCCATCCTTGGACACTGTCACTGTGCTGTTGGCCACCTCACCTAGCACCCGTTCATTGTTTGGTGTCACCCATACCTTGGTCATCCCCTGCTGCTTGGTGTCACACTTGATGGTCAAGGGGTCACCCAGGTGGGCCTCCCAGGCACGTTCCTTGTACTCACTGCAGTTGAGGAAACTCAGGTTGAAGACATTGTGCAGTTTCTTGGAGCTCATGCAGTACAGATCCTCCTGAAAGTCCATCACAGAGCTCAGCTGCCGGTACTGCCAGTGTGAAAAGAGCTGGTAAAGCTCACAGTCGCAGTGCAGGGGGTTGTTATGTAGGTACAGCCCATTCTTGATCCACGCGGGCAGCTTCTGCAGGTCGGGCAGTGGTAAGTTCTTTAGCTTGTTGGAGGAGAGGTCCAGGAGCGTGAGTTTGGGTAGCTTGGCTCCTTCCTTGACCAGTTCCAGAGGGAAGCGGGAGATCTGGTTCTGGCTCAAGTAGAGTTTCTGCAGCTGGGCCATGTCATCGAAGGCGGAGCGGTCCACTGCCATAATGTGGTTATTGTAGAGCAGCAGCACCTCCAGTGCTTGCAGTTCACTGAACAGGAACTCGTCCAGTGTCCGCAGCTGGTTGGAGGAGAGGTCCAGGTAGCGCAGGTTGGGTACCGGGGAAAAGGCCTCAGAGGAGATGAAGTTCAGGTGGTTGTGGCTCAGCAGCAGGGAGTGCAGGTGGGTCAGGCGCGTGGGGGTCCACTCGGCCCGCAGGCGGCTCAGGTTGTTGTGGCTGAGGTCCAGTAGTGCGGTATAGCTGGGCAAGGAGTGGGGCACGTTGGGCAGCTGCTGCTTGGAGCAGCTGAGGATGTTGCTGGCGCACAGGCAGGCGGCAGGACAGCTAACCAAGGGACGGCCAGCTCTGGCCACCTCAAAGAGGAGCAGGAAAAAGGACAGCAGCAGGAGCCAGAGGCCTCGCAGGTCACCCGGGGGTTGCATAGTGTCACTGGGGAGAGCGAGGAAGGCCTCAAGGAAGATCTGGGAGGGAGTCACCCAGGCATGTTCTGGTGGGGTAAAGAAGGGTCACTTTCACTACAGGCATAAGGGAGAGAGGATGGGTTTGTGGTTACCAGGGCCTCTGAGGGGAAGGACACACTCTCCCTCTTTCCTCTCACCCCCCATCCCACCCCCAGCCCCCATTGCGCTAGAAAAGAAAGGTAGAGATGCTGGGTAGTTCCCAGGCACTATGCAGGCGGTGGGCTCAAAATACTGGGGCACAAAGAGGAGATGGACACAAGGGCCTAGTGGGCTGGGGTCACAGGAGTGTGGGATGGGGTATGCCCAGATGTCAGGGACTGTTGGGATCACAGGGGTTGCATGGGCGGGGTTTGGAGGCGGGGTCAGCAGGGCCTTTGAGGAGGAGCAGAGGGAAGGTCAACAGGGCACTGGCTAGGTAGGGCGCGTCCTGACGGGATGAGGGTCCCCGGGGCCTGTCTGGGCGTGCTCCCCCCGGGACCTCTAGTCACTGCACCTGCTTGGCGAGGACGTGTCTCAGCCCATGGCGGGTCCGGGAGCTCCGTCGCGGCCTCCCCGGCGGCGCCTCACTGGCCGGCCTGTCGCGGCGCCCGCCTTACGCAGGGGCCCGCGCTCGGCGACATCGCCTCCCGGGGACTTGCCGGGCTCCGCTCGCCTTCCCCGCGCTGCCGCCTCGACCGCTGCGCCCGCCGGAGCCCACCGACCTCGGCCGCTGCCTCCGGGTCCGCGGGTCCGGCGTGGAGCGATGTGGGGAGCAGGAGGCACCGCGATCCGAGCGGAGGGAGCGGCGTGGGGGCAGCGAGCACCGCGCGCGCGCCCGTCCCCGCCGCCGGAGCCTCAGGGCGCGTGCGCGCGGCGGGGGCGGGGCGCACGTGCGTGTGTTTGTGTCGGAGCCGGACGGGCGGCCGCCCGCGGGGTCATTCTCTCAACGTGTTGGGGACCCGGACCTGGTGAGGAAAGCTGCCTGGGGGCGAGGGTGGGGGGGTTGCTCTGGCCCCTCAGTTCCTGCCCACACCTCTTGCATCTGCTTAATAGTTCCGTCCCCACCCACAACCGCTCTCAGGAAAGATAGGTCTACCTAAAGTGAATTCGTTGCAACTCACTCGGGCAAGAAGAGTCGCACGTCTTGTAATTTTACAAATTAAAGAAATCTGGCTCCGCTCCCGCCCGTCAGTGTTGGCGAGAAGTTCATTGGTCACGTTCTGGGGTTCCCCCTCCCCTCTGTCTATGGTTGTGAAGTCCCAAAAATTTGGGGAACGATTTGGGGAAGAGCCTTTTTTTCAGTCTTGATGTTACTATTCCATGACCCTTGGGGTACCACTGAGGAGTACAGTTCCACAGCCTGCAAGCCAGAGGGGCAGGAGTGGGGGTAGGAGCGGGGTTAGTGCATGCCCAGGCCGCGGGAGCCCTCTTCCTCGGGCATCCCATGCCCCAGTCCCCACTCCGCCCCTGACACGCACGCGGGGACTGCGTACCAGCAAGGGACAGGTTTCCATTCCTGGAAAAGCCAAAACCCTCCCTAGCCCGGTGGAAGGTTTCATTCATGCCTTAGGCCTGGCCACTTGCCCTCTTCCTGCACCAGTACTTTTTGCCCTCCCCTTCTGGAGCAGTTCCAGCATAGTTTCTCTATTACCTAATCCTCAAGATGAAGGGAGGGTGTCTTCTTTAGGGTGACCCTTGAAACACCAAGAAGCTGTTAACAGTATGAGGTGTTGGGGGTTGGGCATGGGGAGAGGGGGATGAAAGAAGAGCCTAGACCTTATAATTCAAGACTTCAGCTATTCTTGGGATGGCAGACCCAGAGGGAGAACTTACCTTTTTATTCCTTGTAGTCTCTTACAACAGCAAGAGCAAGACTGAAATTAATGTCTCAATACATTAGCTTGCTAAGAGTTTTAAAAAGAAAGAATTTATATCTGTCACATATGTTTTACCATGAATTTAAGTGTATTATCTCTTCAAGGGATATTAGCATGTTAACCTTATGTGTAGTGTGAAAAGGTCTTTCTTTCCTGTTCATTTCAGGCATCAGTGATAAGGTGGGGAGAGTATTCAGGGAGTGGGAAATCCTTAAATGACATTGCCTCAGTTCTCTATTGCTGCATAACAAATAACCCCCAAACTGAGTGGCTTCGTTCAACAATGTACATTTATTGGCTTTTACAGTTTCTGTCGGTCAGAGATTTGAGGGTGGCTTGGCAGGCAGTTCTGGCTTGGAGGTCTTTCATGCAGTTGCAATCATATGTCAGATGGAGCTACAGTCATTGGAAGGCTTGACTGGGGCCAGAGAATCAATTTCCACAGAGGCTCCCTTACGTAGCTCACTCCTGTGGCTGGCTGTTGGCAGGAGGCCTTGGCTTCTCTCCATAAATGCCTCTCCACAAGACTGCCTGAATGTCCTCATAGCATGGTAGCTGACTTCCCTCAGAGCAAGAGATCCAAGAGAAAGCAAGGCAGAGTCACAATGACCTAGCTCTCCAAGGTCACACCCATCACCTCCACTTTGGTCACATGGACAGGCCTGATTCAGTATGGAAGGAGACTACACAAAGGCATGAATACCAGGAGGAAAGGATCATTGGGGGCCATCTTGGAGGCTGGCTATCACACACATTGTCTCTGAGATCACATCTGTTTTTTAATTTTGAAAAATTTCAAACATACACAAAAGTAGAGAAGATAGTACAATGAACTCCCATATACCCATCATCTGTAGTCAATAATTACAAGGAAATTCCATCATTTTATTTTGTACAAGTATCCCTGATAAACACATACTCTTCCAACCGCCCCCCACCCCAATCCCCATATCCCTTACTAACCTTCCTTAGACCTGGTGTTCCAGACTTTGCTTTCTCTCCCTTTCCCCTTTCTGCCACATTTAAGGAATGGAGGAGAGACAGATACAAAGAAAGAAGAAGATCCCTTATGCTGGACTCCAGTCTCAAGTATGGGGGTCTGCAGTTTGGAGCAGTCACCACAGATATGGTATTCAGTTAATCCCTTTTTTTCCAGGTCATCCAGAAGTAACCATGCCATTTTCAAATTTTAATGTGCATACAGATCACCCAGGGATCTTGTTAACCTGCAGATTCTGAATCAGTAGGTCTAGGGTGGGGCCTGAGATTGTGCATTTCTAACAAGGCAGTAAGGTGATGCAGACACTACGGATCCATGGGCCATACTTTGAGTAGCAAGGGTCTAAAGCTTTGCTGTCCAAATTGGTACCCAATAGCTACATGTGGCTATTTAAATTAATTAAAATTAAATAACATTATAAATCACTTCCTTAGTTTCCCTAGCCACATTTCAAATAGCCTATTGTGAACCCTATTGAACATAATTACAGAAAATTCCATTGGATGGCACTGGTGTAGAGAATTGACTTATGATGTCTCTCCCACAGCTGCTTTCCAGACCAGAACTATTAATTCACAACAAAAAGAGGACCTTGGCGGGATAAATAGCAACAGGTTATTTTTGCTGGCATGGATCAACTAGTGTTCCTGAATACAATTCGGAAGGTTGTTTGGTCAGCTCAGCATTTGAGCAAAAGAGGTTGGATCTGTCTACAAGGTTATGAGACTGGATAAATTGCTTTTCTCAATACTAGAAGTATTGTTTTCTTTCTTAATAGCTAGTACTGTCCATAGGAATCAGAGCTGGAGAAGACTGATGGAAGACATCCTATTAAGAAGCTTACCTTTTGCCTCCTTTTTAAAGCCTCCGTGTGACCGGCCACCCTTCTTCGGGACAATGTGGTCTAGTCTACGCACACTTTAGGTGTTCCTTTTTGTGATTCCGTTTCACCTGATATATACGTCCTTATATAACTTTTCATCTACTATTTTGTCTGTTTACGTATCTACTTCCCTATCAGACTGTAAGCTTGAGAACAGGGATTTGCCCTGGTTTTGGTTCCTAATAGGCGTAGAAATATGTTTGTTGAATTAATTCATTCATTAATAATTGCATTACGTTAACATTTATTATATGTTCGTCTCAATGCCTGGTGTAGGAGTAAGGATGGAACATAGGGTTTGGTCTTGGACAGTCACAGCTGCGTGACTTTTGTTATTTCACTTTGTTCTACTAAATCGTACTCCATTATCTGTAAAATGGAAATGACGATACCACGTGGGCTTACTTCATTGGATTACCTTGGGGCTCTAATGAGCTAACAGTTGTGAAAGTGCTTATCATTTGTAAGTATTATCTTTAAAAAAAATTGTAGTTTTTGGGGCCGGCCCACTGGTGCAGTGGTTAAGGTCACATGTTCTGCTTCGGTGGCCCAGGGTTTACCAGTTCGGATCCCAGGTGCAGATGTCTGCACTGCTTATCAAGCCAGCTGTGGCAGGTGTCCCACATATAAAGTAGAGGAAGATGGGCACAGATGTTAGCTCAGGGCTAATCTTCCTCAAAAATAAAATAAATTAAAAATCCTAGTTTTCTTCATGAGAGTTAGGAGACCCCCCCAGATCTTGATGTCAACATATGCACAGATTACATAACTATCTGCCTTGTTTGCATGTTCTAGGGTACTGCCTATTTGGAATATTCACTCCTACTTCCAAGCGCTCCCTCTCTGGCCTAACTATCTTTTACAATTTAAAAATATTTACAAATTTTAAATAAAAATTTAAATTTAAAAAGATTTTTAAAAATTTTAAATATTCTTGCATTTTGTGGAGAACCCCAGTGGTGTGACTAATATGAGCACAGTTTTTGTAGTTCTTGGTGTAGCTCCAAAAAAGAGGGGGCTCTAAAATAAGGCTATTTCTGGGAGGGGTAGCAAAAAAGATGAGTCCTTTGTTAAGTATTGCTTAAAGGGCTTCAATTTCAGCCCTTACCATTGAGTTGAGTCCTTTATATGTCACCTATGTTTCCATTTTTGGTTTGTCCCTGAAGGTTGCTCAGTCTGGAGGATTCCTGTTGCCAACCCCCTGCCCCCACCTCCATAAGCTGTCACTCATTTCACTGACCCTTTTAACTTTTTAACTGCCTCTTAGCGTGCTCACCCATTATTACTGTGCAAGAGAAAAGTATTTCTTCTTATTGGACAGCTGACCTCTGACGTCCATTTTGCTACTCCTTAGCATTTTGCACCTCAACCCTGCACACGTCCTGGTAGCTCCACTTGATCTGCAGAAACCACAACGATGGAGAAACTAACTAGGGCAGAAGAGGAATCACTGGTGAGGATGGAGGGGTACGCTAGCCACCTTTCAGTGTCCTGGGCTCTTGGGTTTGTAAAGTAAATCTGAAGATACCTTGTTCAGTCTACAGCTCACGCTCTTGGTCAGGGTTGTTCTGCTTCCCTGGAGGTGGTTATTCCTGGTGACTAAATCATGAATACTTTCTTGGCTTTTGACACCCACAAATGGACATCTCAAAACAGTCCTGCAGTGAATCATGAGATAGATGTGTCTTTTAAATATGGCTGACAAATCAATTCACAGTTCAAAATATTATTTCGGTCTTTAGCAGTGGGGTTCACCACCTCAGTCAGCCTGCTGCTGAGTAGACATCCCAGAGATGGAAGACTTTGGTTCCCAGGCATTGTTACAAATAAGACTATCCTGGAGCTCCTGCCCTGTGAGCCTGGATGACCAAGAGGCCCTCCAAAAGAAGTTTGGTATTTTTTTCATTAAGAAGTTTTGTCGGGGCTGCCCCAGTAGCGCAGCGGTTAAGTGTGTACGTTCCGCTTTGGTGGCCCGGGTTTGCTGGTTCGGATCCCAGGTGTGGACGTGGCACCGCTTGGCAAGCCATGCTGTGGTAGGCATCCCACATGTAAAGTAGAGGAAGATGGGCACAGATGTTAGCTCGGGGCCAGTCTTCCTCAGCAAAGAGAGGAGGATTGGCAGCAGATGTTGGCTCAGGGCTGATCTTCCTCAGAAAATAAATAAATAAATAAATAAATAAATAAATAAAGTAAACTGAGGAATAAAAGTTTTGTTGTAAGTCTGAAAATATTTTCTTTCCTGTACATGCAACCCTCTTTCTTGATTTCTAAAAGCTTTATGTCTAAAATTAAATTCTAGCTAATGTAAGACTTCTCAGCTAATTTTCTTCTTCTTTTTTTTTTCTAAGAAGATTAGCCCTGAGCTGACATCTGTGACCATCTTCCTCTGCTTTATATGTGGGACGCCTGCCACAGCATGGCCTGAGAAGCGGTGCGTAGGTCCGTGTCTGGAATCCAAACCGATGAACCCCAGGCCACAGCAGAATGTGCAAACTTAACCACTACGCCACCAGGCCAGCCCTTCAACTAATTTTCACGTCATGTGAATCCTTGGCTTGTTTGTATTGTATTTGGAAAGTTAATATTCCAGTTTAGGAAGTCAGAGCTTCTATGATTTGGGGGGGGGGATTATAGTTAAACTGAATGTCAAGCTTATAGTTAAGGATCTAAGGCCATTTGACTAACTCTTTGTGTTAATAGATCTTTTTCCCCTAATCATACTTTTTGAGTCTTTACCTATTCATTTATGTTTGAAGTTTCTACCTTTCAACCACTTACACTGTTCTGAGCCGATTCCCAGGCTAATCGTAATGTTGGCTGGTGTGGCCCTTACCTATAATGAGAGGAGTTTAGGCCACCAGTGCTGGAAGATACTTTAGCAGTCAAGTTCACAAGCTGGTTCATGGGAGAGCTGAGGTAACTTGGAGAGGGAGTGTAGTTTTGTATTTAAGACTGTAGTTTTTGGAGTCAGGCTTTTTGGGATCAAATCTCGGCTCTGCCACTCACTGTGTGACTGTAGCCAGTTACTTAACTAGTAAAATGGGCATAATAAAGATACCCACCTAATCTGAGTATTGTGCTGATTTAATGAGTTTATGTACCTAACTGAGTCTCTAACATGCAATAGGCACTCTATCAGTGCGGGGAGTTAGGAGTGGGCTCTTCAGGGGTCTTTTCAATGCACCATAACATTTCCAGGGACAGTGAGGCCCACAGAACTGCGGGAGCTGTGATCTTTGGCCTACGCTCTCCAGGGGTTCCAGGCCCAGGTTGTGGGCGTAGAAGAGTTCTAAGTGTTGACGAATGGGAGGCTTGGATGAGGAAGCCACAGTAGAGGCTGAAAGAGCAAGGAGGGCCCAGGGTCAGTCAGTTCCTATTTGTTCCATGAGGGCACACACCAGACCAATAGGAAGGGCAAGGTCCAGCTCCTCAGAACAGGCAGTTCCTTTAAAACCATGGGCAAAGGAGCTCCTGCTGTACTCGGTTTGGGTCAGACCATAGCTGGAGTATCAAGTTCAGTTCTGGATAGCTCCTTTACAGTCTGGAGCACAGCCAGAGGTAGTTGATGGAGCTGTACACAGTCCACTAATCATATCACAGTGCATTCTCTCACAAACATCTGTTGAACCCCTGGGGCAGACCACCATGTTATATGCCTTGGGGTGAGGCTGGGTGGAGTGGGATGTAAATATGCTTTAGAAATAGTTTCTTCCCTTTAGGACCTAGAAAGTAAGTATGGGATTCTATTCAATTTAACAAACATCTACCAATTGCCTGTTATGTGCAGGACTCTATGTAGGTGGTATGGCCTTTGTGGCCCGGTAGAAAGAGCCTTGGACTGAGAGTCAAGAGAGCTGGATCCTAGTCTCACCCCTGTCATCAACTAGCTGTATGACAGTGGGTGAGTTACTCTGGGCCTCAATTTTCTCCCATATAAAATGGAGGTTAGGATACCTGCCCTATTAAAGTGCAAATTCCAAAGTCCTGCTCCACTGAATCAGAATCTTCATGGGAGGAGTCTGGGAAGCATTTTGTTAATCAGGGCAGTCGTGAAACTCTATCCTTTAGGCCGGAGTTCTCCTTGTGTGGGCCTCAGAATGCCTACATCAGAATCTCCAAGGAACTTGTTTGGAAAGAGGATTTCAAGGCCCGCCCCAGACTTGCTTAGAACCTCTGGAGATGGGGGCTTGGGAGTCTGTATTTAAGGTGAAGCCAAGTGATTCTTTGTTCCGCCAAATTTGAGAAGCACCACTGTAGGATTTTTGTGGACTGAAAAGGTATGTGAATACTTTGGTAGCTCATGTATGAGGGATGACTTCGCAATGAGGACCTTTTACTTTGGGAGGAAGTCATAATAACAACTTCTGAAAGCTGAAGCGTTGTGTATTAGTCAGAATCTTTGGAACTGCAAAGAAGAGTCATACCTAATAGGTTTCAGGAAGAGAGGTTTATTGCAGGATCCCACAGAGGTTTAATGTAGCTGGGAAGTTGCCTTATTAGCTGTAGTCACTGTGGTCCCAGTGCTTCCAAGACTTGGAGAATTGAAACAGTGGTTGAAATGGCAGAAAGAGGCTTCAACCTGAAAGTTACCCACCACTAAAAGTTATCCACTGTGGGTACAGTCGGATGTTTACTTCCCCAATAAGAGGCTTTGAATGAGTCAAATTGCTACCATGCAATATGGAGCACCCTTTTGAGCAGAACTCCTATCAAACCCTATCCTCTGGCCTCCTGTGTGCCCCACCTATATGTAGCTAACTTCAGCATGTGAATTAATCCCATCCAATCATCTATGGTTAGAGTAGCAGAGTTAGTTTTGTTCAAGATACATAACAACTTGGGGATCTGCTTTCTTTGGAAAAATAAGGAGAGAAAGATCTACAAAAGTAAACATTTTGAGGCATCTTGGTTTGTCTAGTATGCATTTTCAGGAGGAAGAGGGAGTAAACAAATGAAGTGTGGCTCTAAAACTTGGTAATACAGACTGCTTTGTGAAACCAATGGATTCCGTCTTCCTAGGCACATGGGCAGACACACTTCTTGGGGGCAGGGATCTCTTAAGGCTTATCCATGGAATCCTGGATTGAGGACTTCTGTTCTTCTGAGCCTCTAAAGGGAAGACCTGTTCTACTGGATAGAATTGTCAGAGAATCAGATTTCCATTCCACCTACAGAAACATCTTCTGACATTTCAACTGTCCAATAATGGACCTTTCCATCTTGAGGTAATGAACTCCTGATTACAGGAAGCATTCAAGCAGGGGGACTGGATGACTACTTTGCACAGATGTCTCTTCATTTGTTTGTTTATTCATTCTGTCATACACATCTCCATTCACATATAGCAAGAAATTCTGTGAGTGTGTAGGAGTAGAAAAGTGAAATACAAAGGTAGACACGTAAGAAACTGTCCTTGTTCTCAAGTGCCATGGTTTGGTGGAGGAAACTGAGGCATGGTGACAGGTGATATAAGAGTCCATGTGTAAAGGGCTTAGGAGGCCAGAGAAGAGAAGGGAGCAAATGTGTGGAGGAATCCTGTGTAGGG